GTTAACTCTAAGCATCTAAATACAATGGTGTCATGGTTGTTTTTTATTTGATTCATTCTTAGTTTCCCTTAGTTGTTATATACGCCTGTCAAAGCCTTTTTATTTTTACACTGAATACATGCTTTTTAATGTTTTTATCTTACTTGTTTTACACCAAGAATTCTGTACGAAACGAAAACTAATGTTATTTAATGTAGATGTAGTTAGTCCTATGAGTATTATTATGATAATAGTTTTTTCTAAAATAACCCCAGTTAGGCTCCACAGATTCTTTGTAAAGAATAGACACAAGTTTCTTGGCTAAGGAAACTACTTTTATCTTTATCTTTCTTTATTGTTCTAACTGAGGTTTAGCTGATGCCCAGGGCCAAATGTAAGTTCTGTGATAGGCCCCAAGGCACACATCACTGGCCTTTTTGGAGCACTCCACTTGGAGTCACTGAGTCCCATACTTAAGACCTCTTATCTGTTTTATTTTGGGAATGCTATGCTGAGGTGTGTGTGTTTATGGGTGTCAATACACTGTACAATTGCCAACAAAGGTCAGTTGTCTTGATGTATCTATGATGACATTGATATGAACTAAAGCTTAATGCTGCAAAGCCAACATGCCCGGTAAAAGAAATCCAACAACATTGCAAATGGAGTTTTAGCCTCCACCTTCCAACTTCCTTGGAGTGTGCATGTGAATATCTTTACCTTTCATTCTCTACCGCCCCTCCTCTCCATCTTGAATTTATGGCACTGCGCTTTGGATCCCAGCGCCACTCTCTCACCAGACAAGGCAAATATATTTTCTTAGGGGACGCCATAAATTCTTTATTTCTAAGATGGCTTGGAAAGATCCCAACGCATGCCTATGTGGAGGTGAAGCAGCCATTAAGCAATTCTTTCCTATAGCAGACCTGTTTGGATACCTCTGCGCGCTAGAGGTCATTTTAAGTGCAAACATGGACTGCCTGGAAGTACTTATCTAATAATGACCCACTGACTGGCTGCACATGTGAGCTTGTCCAGGCTGAAAAAGCATCCATTCTGAATTTCTAGCTGACTGAACATCTGGGGGGATGATTAGTTGAGAGGTGTGGCTCTTTTGTTATGACATTAAACAAAACCTGCCTGGCTCTTGTTGCTGTTTAATCTCAAAAAGAGGTGCCTTTCTCCAAGTGTTATCTTACCGAAAGATCAGTCTGCTAACCTTTTTATTCTACTTCATCATTTTATTAACAAATTATCCTTTTGAGCTGGCATGACGGCTTACATACAAGCTGAAAGTATTTGCAGTATAAAGTTCAACTGACATTTGAACCACTTTCAACTCCTTATTTGTACTGGCAGTTGTTTGTCAGTTAAAAGGCTTCTTTGCTGGAATTTATCCAATTAAGATTATTTTACCTCTTACTCATTAACTACAGCTTTCATCATTACGCAAATGACATGTCAGTTGCGATCACGCCTAGGCATTGATTGGCATTTTGATAGCTTGCATCTCATATCATTCAGATGAAAGATATGCTGTCAACAGCTCTAACCCTAATCAACTAAACTGCCAACAGGGCTCAAACTTGAAACTCAAGTTTAACATGCTTTAAGCAATAACACTAAAAGTGATTTGCATTGCTTCCAATTCCAGTAGGACTGACAACTTGACTCCTTTTAATGCTCTCACTTAATTGACACTTTAAATACTATAACTGAGTTTACCTTAAACTTTGAGACATCTTCAACTATTTACAGCCAGCTGCATTTCTTTCTACAAAGACATGCACTCCTTTCTTCTAAAAATGTTTGCTTTTTATAGTTGTTTTAGGGTCGAGTTTAAGTGCAACATTTCAGAGGCAGATGAAAACAAAAGCCTTGGATAAGCATTAATACGTGTATGTTTTGTCATGAAAATGTCAGAACAATACTTTGAAAATCAAGTTATTGTCAATTGTCAGCTACTTCAAAACTATTGGTATTGTAATTGACTATAAAACCTATATGGATTGCAGTTTAGTTACCTAGAAAGACCTATTTAAATGGCTATAGTATTCCTGTCACATATCTGTTTCACCACTTTGTCAAGTTGGTGGCAGAAAATGGCTCCAGTTTTTCATTCTCATTGAACTTTGATCCAGTTTCTGGTTTCTGAGCTGTCGTTCCTGTAACCATTTTAAGCTGTTTTATGGAATGTATGTAAACGTATTAGGGATGCCAGCGATTATTCGAATATTCGTTACAGTCTCCATAATCGAAGATTATTTTTAAAATTCGATTTTATTTATATATATTTTTTTATTAATATTTATGTTTTTTTTTTTTTTCCTGGTTTGGTTTCAACCAAAATATAGACTAATGCTAATAATAGTAATGGTATTAATAATTGTAAATGACCATTGATCACACCACCAGTTTGTTTTACTGTAAACTTGGAGGAAGCCAGCAGCGCAGAGTGCAGACTGCTGCTGCAGCCTGCTACACACCGACCCCGCCCCCCCCCCTCCCTCTCCGTCACACGTGCGATTGGGGGGGGGGGGGTGTGTCGAATAATCGATTAATATTCGCCAGTGCTGTCCGATTTTCGATTTTGATCATGGTCAGTTTCTGGCATCCCTAAAACGTATACAGAAGCAAACCTAAATGAGTTCCCACACAGTTTCTAAACAAAGTAAGGGCCACTTAAGGGATACATTAGATGTAAACCTGCACCTCCTAGGTTTCATTACATAATCCAAAGCAAGGCTAGCTCTTGGAGTCAACACTCAGCTGGTTTACCTCAGTTTGTTTGAATTGCGGCTTCCTGTTTGAATCATTGTCCGTGATGTGTAGCAAAAGTAATTCCCGCTTATGTAGCACGACACATGCTTACACTCCTCATACCTGCTGCAGCACACCTAAAAAAAGGTCTGAACGCCAACAAAAATCTATTTATTGTTAATGCATATGTGCATTTTTAGCATGTAGGCTTCGTTTGAATGCATGGCGGGCCCATATTTCTGTCTACGATCCACCACAAAGATTAGAAAACAAGAGCAGTGTTGCATCATGGCAGCGACATGCAAGGTCTTGCCCATCCTTGGCAGTAAAGAGTCATCATTGCTAATAACAGGGTAGAAACCATCAGGTGGTTTTGTAGGTCTGATGTCATCCATGTAGCAGATGAGTCAAAAAAACAAACATTACATACAGACAGCCAGATGGTGGTAGGTGTAGAGGTGATGATGACAATTCCCAAAGTGTGACCTGTGTTGGTGGTTTGCATTTGATATGTAATCTATGATCACATTGTATGCCTTTTTTTTTTAAGGGTGCTTTACAGAGCATGTTGGCCTGGTTGAATGGTTACCGTATTTTGGATTATAACTTATGTAGTTGAAACAAATCTCATATGTAAATCGACTTTCTTTGTTTTGAAGGAACACAAAATGGTAGCAGCGAGACGACTCGTAAATAAAATGTGTGACAACTAGTAAAACCAAATTACGATGTGTAAGTGTTCACATGTCCAACATCATGACACTGTCTGAAGCTTTTGAACTGTCTGACAAGCAATGAGTATACTTTACCCTTAAGCTTTGAAAAGCTTGTGTTTAAGCTGGTAGCAGCTAAGATCATTGGAAGTGCCGACTGAAAGCGACTGAACCGAGACATGAAGTAGGTCTGGGAGATAATTCAATTAGATCATTTTATTGTCTTGCAGTGGAATTGTATCATGCTGAAATCATATATCAGAGCAATGATTGCAATTTGAACGAAACAAACATACTTATTTGTTCATTTAGTGCTAGACTCTTTAGCCCATTGCTTTCCATTTAAATGACACACATTTACATTCACCTCCAGATAAGGTGAAATAATTATCAAGAGATCTTCTTTACTTCATTAATATATTACCTTATTAATCATCTTCTGGCAGTCTTGTAGTAAGTTTGATAAATTACAGTCTGTCATATAACCCCTGAAGGCTGTTGTTGAAAAAACACAGTTTAAGTGTTGGAGGCAGCTCTCCCTCCGCCCCCAGTGTGAATTGGCATGTTTGTGATGTATGTGTGCAGACATCACAAACATGCAGCCATGATGAGCTCATCTTAGAAACGGATCCAAACATCCCACCTCTAAAGTTTACTCACCCCAGTCAGCCAGGCTGCATTCTGACACACCTGTGATGGTGAGGCTGGACAGATTTATGTGATCTTACACATTTTATGATGTGATAAGCCTGGTCCATGAAGGTGTGGCTTACATAACAAGAAGTTGGAAGAAAGGCACAGAGATCTATACAAATCACAGCACAGAAATAGCATTCTCAGGCGTCATCTGACTGCTATTCTTGCCATTCTTTTTCACCCTACCACTCAATTGAGACACTGACTTTTGTGACTGCTTCCATCCACTAGGTCTGCTTTATGTTGATGTGCGCATATTGGCGATGACAGCCTTTGCTCTGTATGCAGCAGGAAGATAAGATACTGCTCACTGTTTTCCAGCCTCTGAAAAGCAGCGCTGGGCTCTGTGCCAGCCTCTCTGCAACGCCCTCTCACTACAATGATAAGCACGTCTACGTCACATTGATGTATAGGTGAGATGTGTGTGTGTGTGTGTGTGTGTGTGTGTGTGTGTGCAGGTGCTTTTGTGTTGTTCTTGGCATTCATTTACAGCATAATCACAGTAGAAAATGAGTTTACACACACACACCATGACTCACAGGGAATATCCTTTAATGCGTGATTTGAGACACACAAACATTTTGATGAGTTTGGTAAAAGGGCAATTGATTGTACTGGGTGGGGGTCTATAAATCAACCTCTTTTTATTGACCTTGTTCCTCTATAGCTGTTTTCGGAAGGACCACAGTGTGAGGCATAATAGTAGTATTAGTATTATGTGTCTCTTATTACTGTTTACACACTCTCTCTGCCTTTTTCTTCCTGACTTGGTTTCACTATTGCTCTCTTTTTTACCCTCTCGTTGTCCCTCCCACCTCCTCTTTCTTTCTCTCTCGCTCTGCGTGCTGTTCCTTTTATTTTCACCCCGCTGAGAGATGACTGGAATTTCTCATCTGGCTGAGAAGGGCATTTTAACTTTCTCCTCTTTCCCTGCGCACTTCATTTCCACTCTCATGCACCCTGCCTGCACGCTCTCCTCTCTCCCCTCCTTTTTCTGAGGCTATGCACCGTTTTCTTTGGCATCCCGCTCCTGTGTGCGAGCCAAGGGAAGGCAGCTCTCTCCTGGGACACTCCTAACTATCTCCGTCTCTCTATCACACACATTCTCGTTTCCTCTTCAGGATCGTTCTGAAGCATGCAGGACACTTTGCTCCTGTCTGCAGAAGGGATGGGGCCTAATTTGCTTGCACGGGCTAATGAGCTTAGCCCGTGCTGAGCAGCTTTTAGCCTGCAGGTTGCTGTGGTGGGCACTGGTTAGCCCTAGTGGTTAGTTAGAGGAACCAGAGAGGATCTCAGAAGAGGCAGAGCTGCAGCTTCACCACTTACCAGGACCAACTTCACGCAGACACTTTGGATGGGACGTCTCTATCTACTGTCTCCCCTCCCTCTCACCTCTACCTCTCTCTGAAGCTACCTGACTCCCCTCTGTCTCCCTCTCTGACTGTCCCGGAGTACTGAACAACTGCTTTTGTTGCTGTATCACCTCTTAGGCAGCTGCGTCTCTTTTCACCTTTCTTCCCTGCTTTTCTGACTAACCCTCTCCCCCTGAATTTATTGCCAACATGTACCGGAACCCGTGGATCTCGAATTACCTGACCCATGTCAAGTTTTGCAGCCAAGGTAAGAGCAGCGACTTGGGGCTCTGCAGCTCGGGGCTGAGACTTGAGACTTGAGGCTCAGGCTGAGAGCTTGGGGACAGGTTACTCTGGTTGTGGAGCTGGGAATCTGAGCTCCACACACAGAAGTTGGCAGGCTACAAACTGCAGACTCCCTTCCTCTCTGTCCTGCTTCCTACAGTAACAGCTGTCCTTGCACTGCAGCTGTAGCCTCCAAGGACACTACGTAGCAGAGATAAGGGACTCTAACGGTGCAGGGGGCTGTTCTTGGGAAGAAGCTATTTGTAGTCACCACAGTTACTTGCACTCAGATTTAGGGAAGTGAACTTGAGTGTATGGATATATTTGTAGGCTGTACCAGGGGGGCTGTATAACAAACCTCTAATCATATCTCACTAGAAATTGAATCAGCCATCAAAGCAAGTAGCAAGTTGGACACCTTTTTAAAAAATGACCATGATTTCAAGGACTATTAATTGAACTAAATAAAATGATTTTATTGTGAGGATGAATTAAATCTGCAAAGAAATAGGCATTACGTTTGATTTTGGTAAACTTTATCATTAAAATATGTGTTGCTGACCAATTTAAAAAGCCATCTTGACAGTGTTGACTTTGGTCAGAACAGAAAGGCAGAGAAAACAGTCTGATTGATTATATTATATATATTATTCATGATATATCCCATTATTTACACAATTGGGGGGGGGGGGGAAATATGGTTGAAAGTGTGCATAAAATATTTTACAACTTAACTATGTTTTGTAAGTTAGCAACCTTGCTAGTTGGCAGAGAACTTTACTGATACTTCATTTATATTACATACTTGCGTACAGAGAAATTCAAAATAATTTTTCACGTTTCTGAATTGCTAACAGTTGGCAAATATAGGAATATTTCACCAAGCCCTTTGAACCCCAAATTTGGTGAAAATGTGCCAATTAATTTCTCTGTGCCATTTTCTGTTGTGACTGGTAAACAGAACTCCTGTCATACACTTGTCAGAACAAATATGTTTCAGAAAATATGTTGTACTGTTAAAAGATAAAAGTAAAAGATACGTTTTTATTATGGTAGATTTAGAGGACATATCATTCAGCCCTCTTTGGGTGCACAGGTCCATGTGTGTTTCTCGTTCCCATCCTTCTCTGTAATAATTTCTGAGATCTGGCCTCTTCATGCTAAAACTGTCTGGGAATCGACAACAGGTGGCCCACAGTTTGAGCAGAGAAACTGGATTTTTGAAAAGGAGTGTGTTGTTTTAACGTTTGTTTAAGGGTTTACATGTGTCAGTGTAGCTACCCTTTGCTCTGTTTCCTTCCCAGAATTTAAGACTGAGCATCTTGTATACTCATTGTTATTAGGGTTTAAGACATAATTGGCTTATTTTCACGTCTTTTTGTTGAACCTACTGTTTGTAACCAGGGCCTGAGCTCATTTCTGATTCTCCATCTGTTTTGCCATGCTTTACTTCTTAAGCCTCTGTCAGTGAGGCTTTAGGCAGGGTGTAGGCAGAGTAGGTGGGCAACTGTTGGGGGATGTTAACACCATGCACACACATGCCCATGTTTTGTGATGTAATGCAAACGGTTAAAGAGCGACACGTTTCCTTTTGGGCTCGCAGTAATCCCAGGGAATGGAAGTTAATCCTGTGCCTCAATTTGGACACATGCTCAGCCCCTGATGCCTCTTTGGTTAACACACTGAGTGTTTTAATGTGACATGGATGGAGTAAGCATTGCTGATTGATTCAAATTGTGATAATCCCTTATTTAATATTGAATGTGTTCTAAGGTTTGACCTGCGTTTAAGTCCTATTTGCCAGAGTCGAGCATTTCTAGAGATAACTAAAGTCCCTTTTTGAACCAACAGTGTAATACAGTATTTTTCTTTCACACCTTTGATACCTTCACATAAAAGCCTTTCCTCACTTCAGAGTCTGAATGACACTCCATTGAATCATGAAAATCATTTTATCCTCATGTTTTATCAGTGTCAAGCCGCTTTTACAGCCTCATCAACACACACGGGGCATGGTGCTGAGGAATTCCTGGCCCATTCCCTCCCGGCTATTGCAGCCATAGTGTTTCTGTAGATTACAGCCAGCATCAAAGGCTCGGGCACATCTGTGATCATTGTGGAGGTTTTTATGTCTGTGTCTGGAATGACGAATGTATGGAGGCTCTCGAGGGGGTCGTCCCTGATGGTCTACAGTACATGCCACTAAATATAGGCTGTATGAGGTGTAAAAGGAATACAGACGGAGAACTTGATATGTTAGACACTGTACACTATGGTTAGACCTGACAATAGCCTCAGACAGCTGCCCCCAAGGGACATTTGCTTTTGTTATTTTCAAACTAGCAGCTCATAACCTTTACTGTGGCATCTGGATTTGTCTAAAGGAAATTTCTCAACTTGGGTGTTAGCCTTAGATTTTGGAACTTTATGACTATTGGTCATGATAGGGGTTAGGGTCATTGAGATCTGCAGAAGACATAATCATGTTGATTGGGCATTCCAAAATTCTTCAATTTCACAAACACATCACACATCACATTTTGCAAGGTCACCGTCAGTGTATCATGTGCTTAAAGCTATGATTGTGATTGTTGAAACTTTAAAGAAATTAAAACACGCTGGTATACTTTTCCCCCTACGATATTCAAAATCTTAGCAGATTTCTTGTCTAATTTTATAATACAGTATCATCATAATATCGATATATTTCCTGCCCCTACCTACTGTATACCAGATTGAACATTTGCTGCTTCCAGACCTTTCTCGAGCCTTGTCACTCTGCAAGCTCCAAAATTCTGAACTTGCACAATCTATTTACAACTCGAGACCTATCATACAGTGTGTGTTCTAAAAAAGACAATACATAGCATGCCTAGGCTACATTTACAGACAAATCTAGAAAGAGATGTTACATTGATCTGCAGTGCATATGTTGTTAACACATAGGCAGATATTCAACACTTCTTTTACTGGCTTATTTAGCCCAGCAAAGTGTGTGCTCAGGATTTATCTTGCCGTTTGTTTTGCACTTTGAAATAGTGTTGTCAACCTAATCTTTGGATCATTGTCAAAAGAAACACAAGTGGCTCATATAACCAGGATTATCATTCAAGGCTTGTAAGGAATGAGTTGTGTTTTCACTCGTCATCTTCCACCCAGCTGAAACAATACACGACTATCCCCAAACACATCCAGGCACACCGCCCTCTCCAAATAAGCCTTCCTTCTTCTCAAATTATGTTTTGCTTAAGTAGGAGGGATTCAAAGCATCAACCCAAACATCCTTCATAAAGATGAACAGATCTGGAATGGGGGGGTTAGGGGTGTGCGTCCTCAGGGGAGAGGTTAGGGGTTTGGGTGGAGCAGTGGGGGGTGTCGGGGCGGTAGGCGGCCCTGAGGTGAACTCGCATGGGGTGGAAGTGGGACCACATGTTTGTCCCAAAACAGCGCAGATCTGGCCACTCTGAGGTCCGAGGGCAGCCAAAACCACACGGTTGAGGTTTGGAGTGAATAACTGAAGCAGACATTCGTTAATGGGATGTTCCACACAACTGGCATTCCTCACAGAACTGTTTATGATGCTATATACTCACTAATTCCCTTCTTTCTTGGTAATGAGGCTTTATTTCTTTGTAGGCAGGTGTTTATGTCACATTTTGAGCTTGTTTACTATGTTACTAATAGACACCAGACTTTATAGGGATAGGTTGTTTACTCTTGTATGTCTAATAGTTTAATCCCAAATAGTGTGTTTGTAAGATTTAGGGAAAGTCTGTTTTTTCTGTCTCGTCATGCTGTCCCCCATCTGTATTCATGACGGGTAGAAAGTGCTGCCCAGTGACATTGATGTGTGACGCTCCTCCTGGCTTTGTCCCAGCTGCACTGCAACCTTGACATGCGATCCGACTTTACAGCTCCTGCCTCAGTGACACACACGCAGTCACTCCTCCATCAAACCCCTTAAGATATGACCTCATGCGCAGCACATATAGTGATACTTAGCATGGACACAGTCACTGTCTCCGGATGTCTGATGATTTGTCGCCATTTGTTGAGGTGGCTTTTAACTACACAGATCACTTAGTATTTGATGTGATTCAGTCAGGCAGGCAGATTATTGTTTTCCACATCACCTGATTCTCTGTGGAAGTCCACCTAATGAATGCGCTTGTGTGCCAAGAAGCTGCAGACCGACAGTCAGGTTCACCTTGGAAATATGTGTGTCGGTTAATTAAAAGCTAAAACTGAACGTTCTGCTGTTCAAGTGAATGAGCATTGGGACATAACTAAATGTTACACTCTTTTTCTTCTGTTCACAGGACTTGGGAGTGAGACCCCAATTAAACTGAGCAACCCCAGATTGCTACAGAAGAGAGCTTTGAGGTAAGAACACCCAAAAACACCCAGGTTGTACATGTATAAGTGATTTGACATCAATACGTCCTGTGAAGCCTATGTGCAGCATTTATTTAAAAAACAAATTGTTTTGGATTCTCAGGCAGTAGTACTGATAAAGACAGGCTGCACCAACATAGTCTTAAAGATGCTACAGTCAAATTACTATTCTATCTTTGATTATCTCAATTGTTTCAAAATAAATGCACTCATTTAGACATGTTAGCCTTTTTTTTTATATCCTTCTTTAGTTCTCTAGTTCTAGGTTATACTTACGTTAGCCACTTTAATGCTAAAGGACTGGTTATTTCAGACACATTTACACTGTTGTAGCAAAGCCCTTGCATGCATGGAACTTATGTCCTTTTTATATTGCTTACTACCTCAAGTTTATATTTGTAAGAGAAAGAAAGTACTATTTATCATTTCAAAAGACACTAATGCTGATTATCAAGCCATACCCTAGATATACACATCCTTGGTGTATTACTTTGATTGAGGAACGAAAGAGATAGCAGTGTATCAGATACAGCTTGGATGCTTCAGATAGGCCAGTGTCCAAGCTTTCTGAGAAAGTCAAAGATAAGCTCACTCTGCTGCGTAGCAGGGTAAAAGCTCCCTGCTGCAGCATTGGAAGGATTGCTCAGCATTATGTAGTTGGCAGAGGTTCAAAAACACCTCTAGGTCTACATGTTAGCCTCTATTAGAAAGTTTCCTTTACAGCAGCGAGGACTTTGCACACTGTGACACCACTGTGGTGCCAAACTGTGCGTGGGTGTGGTTCTGACCTGAAAACATTGTGCATGTAGGAAGTAGATGTTGGGAAATTTCAGTCATGAAAACATATGCTGCTATGATTGAAATACATAGTCACTTTATATCCTTTTCTATGTGTTCATAACTCTGTGTTCGCTGGAATGAAAAAAGCCACAAAGTCAGTTTTTCCAATTCTTGACTGTTTCCTCACATCGGGAATCTGCCAGTTCTTTCACAGCTGCATTGTATCATTGTGGTTTTGAATCAAATCCATAAAAGACTTCAGTATGATTCTAAGAGAAAAAAGGCTGTCGATCTGTAAGAGGGTGTGATGGGAAAAACCCTCTAATTTCTACATAAATATTTAGGGATTCAAGAAGAGAAATACACACTTTGCAACCACAATGTAATGTTTGGACGATTCCTTTCTTTATCCGTGATAAATTGTCTGATTCTTGAACATTGTTCAAACTAATCCTGCTTCCAGCCACATTAAATATAGATTGGTTGAAAGTGTGATCAAATTCAGAATAATTCAGTTGAGCCTCTTACCACTGTCGGCCTATAGACATATCCCACACTTCCCTGCAGCTCAGCCCTTCTTCAATAACAGTTGGTATTTTTCCTGCACCCCTCAGCTTCCAGAAAGAATTCACCTTCGACGAAAAAGACGACCCAGCTAAAAGCAAAGATATAGATGTTAGTGTCTTGGCCAACCTCCCAAAAGGTGAGTAAGGGGGTTTTTTTCCTCTTTTTTTCTTGCCTGCTTGCAAATAGACCTCACAATGTCAACTTTCTCAGGGTTTTTGAAGTCACTGTTGTGCAAGAGCTATCTCTTTGCCAGGTGGATTCATGTCAAGATTTGTCTAAAGCCTGTTTTTCTACAAGCACGGTCCTCACACATTTAATAGTATGACACACTGCACCGGAATTTCTTTACTGAGCCAAAATACTCAAATAAAGAGATACAGTTATTTAGAGGGTTAAGGTCCCGTTAAATCCAACTGAAAGGTGAATATAAACGTCTGATGAGCTGTTAAGGGACACCTCTAATTAGCTTTTTACAAGTTTTGATTTGGCCAATAATGAAGATGTGGATGGGGAAATTGTAAAGTAGACCAATTAATATAGATTAGATGTTCAATTTAAAACTGGTCAAGAACAGCATGATTTTCTGGGAAATGATCCCAGATGAATAAAAGACCCTTAGGCTCAGCTGTCAGTAGTGAACATCTTTTTTGACTTTTTTTCTAGGGCATCAGATATAAATGGCTGTTTTTTAAAAGCTGGTTTTCTTTGGTTCTGCAGATACAATACTATATTCACACAGTAAAATGATGCTAACCCTAATCCTACAAATAATAGACAAGAAAATATTTTTTAGATTTTCTTTTTTCTAGATCCAACCTGCAAATATCCATGTCGTCAGTCTTAATTAACAGTTTAGTTTGGTTGAGATGGTTTCCTTATGCCAAGATGTTTTTTTCATTCTTTCTATAGTCTCTGAATTGAGGAAACGATTTGAAGGCATCACCACAAGCTCAAGTGACTGGGAAATGAACAGGTAAGATGGATAAGTGTATAAAGTTGCTTGGGTTTCTGATAATGCTAATGTTGCGAAAGTTAATAACATGCCTGAATACTTCTTCCTTCCTGTCCTCCGTGTGTATGTCAGCAGAAAGGAGCGTATCGCTCGGCGGTTGGAGGGCATCGATGCTGAGGTGCATCCGTCCCTGCTGCCTAGCCTGGTGGCGAACCGGCTTCTGGAGGAGGACACACCCCGATACACCAGGGCCTCTGATCCCTGTGAGCTCTGTGGTGGTAAGTACAGTACCTAGACAATTTGTTGACACTTTATTTGTGCTTCTATGAGGGTAACTGACCTTTATCCTCTCGATTTCTACTAGTTACAGTCCAGCGGTACAGCATGGAGGCATTGGAAAGCCCAGAGACGCAGCCCAAGGCTCCAGAGCGACAGTCTAGAGCTCGGTGCAGACCTGACCCCCCGACCTCCATCCTCCCAGAGCCTGTCCACACTTCAGACTCCACCACCATTAACCTTGAGACTGAGACTGAGTCTAAGGTTGAACGCATCGCACGCTACAAGGCGGAGCGGCGCCGGCAGCTTGCAGAGCGCTACGGCATCTCTTTAGATCAGGAGCCAGACGTGGAGCCACCTCCCCGCTCCACTCGTACACGGAAGGAGTTGGAAGGCTCAGAGAGGCGTATCCGAGCGGAATCAGTGGGGGAAGAAGGGAGGGACATCACCCTGAGTTCTTACAATAGCACCTCTGTCACGAGCCCAAGGGCGGGACGCACGGCACCACAGCAGAGTCAACCAGACCCGGGATCCGAGGTGAATCGGACCAGGGTGGACTCGCTGTCTGAGAGGGAGAGGCTGATGAACCTGGAGAATCAACGCAGAGCTGCTCCTCCTGAGCTGCCGTCCTCCTCCTCATACATGGATGTGACATCAATGTCCTCAACTGCCACGGTGCCCGCCAAAGACTCTTCAGTCGCAGGGATGCCACCCAATTCACCCAAGGAAAGCCGGCACTCATCCCTCTCCTCACCTAAACATGCCGTGTCCACTGGGGACCAATTAATCGAGCAGCAGAGCCACACCATCCTCACCAGACATGGGTGAGTAGCCTGAGCAGTGCGTTATTGGTCCCCGTTTACACCCAAAGTAGTTTGTCTCCCTTGTTTCACAATTTAGAAAATAGAGCAGCTATTTAGTCTTCCTGTCTGACATCTTATTAGCAGATCATTCCCTTTCTGGGGTCACGACCCCTGCTTCCTCTCCAATCCAGATACACAGGGCTCGAGCATGATTTCCATCCAGAACACTTCTGTATCATTGCTGTGACAGCGTTATCCATCAGACTGACAGTCACCCCCTCCCTCCCATCATCTCTGTCTTTTTTTACACGTGTGTCCAAGGTCGTCCTGTTGGCACGACTCTGGTTTCAAACCAGGTCAGGCAACCTGAGCCCGAAACAATCTTTGAGTTGCACAGCTGAGCTTGCAAAATACAAGGCAGAAAAATACCCACTGTGCGGGTGTATGTTGAGTCCTATTCCACATTTTCCAGGTGGATATTTTGAAAGCATTTTAAAATTCTCAAAGGAACTCTTACTGGCGAAGCTGTTGCTATTTTGTGAGAAAGAACTATTTTCCGATGCTGTTTGGATGAAGTACCACTGTAGCTGATCCCACATTCCTAAAGAGAATTGCTCCTTTTGAAGAACCTCATACAGCAGTGCTTATCAGAGGAACAGGGGATTTCTTAAAAGATCATTCAATTTCATTGCAATTTGAGTTGAACTAAAGGTTCCTTGATGACATGAGTCACAGTTTTAAGACCTACTTTGTGTTTAAACTAAAACATATTGTACAATACTTGTAGTAGTTGTAACTTCCCCAAGACCCTCAGGAGCTCTCTAGGGCTCAGGGCTCTTTTTGTTCATGTGATTATGGTAATTTGTGAATTATTGTTAAGGCCGCTACACACCCACCTGAGACCAAAGAACACGTACCGAAGGCGTCCCGACTTTTACGTCAGCTACGCCGCCCGCCTACGCCGCCCGCCTACGAACACACCACAAATACTTCAGTCGACGAGTGGCAATAACTGTCCTTGCCAGCAGGCAGCGGTAGTGTGAACAGCCAATCAGAGTGATTGCTTGGGCCGACTTTCTCTGACCTCCCGCGGCCGATTCAACATGTTGAATCGGCCGCGGGAGGTGTGAAAAGGTGCCGTAAATAGACGACCGTGCGGGACACACCAACCTGAGTAGGGCGCCGCGAATGCCCGACTGCCTCTGACGGCCTCTGACTCCCAAAATCGGGTTGGTGTGTAGCCAGCTTTAGACTAACATAGTGTCTAACCTGTCAAAAGAAACGAGTATTTCAGTTCCAGTTTCGAGGAACACAGGTCAGTTTTGAGGGTTCTGGGCAACATGTCAGGGGGGACTCACAGGGGCCCAAAGTTATTTTTTGCCCCAAGGCAACCTAGTGGTTTAATCTGGCCTTGAAACACACTCTATCCCTGTCCTTTTTTATGAGATTAAGTTTAAATGGTACTTTCCACATCTGCATGGCCACAATAATTCATGTGATGTAAATGATGTTACCTGCTCATAGTCTACATGCAGTCCACACGTTTTTGACAGTACAAAACAAACATGAGAACCTACGCAAGTAAATACTCGATGTAGTACATTTTCGATGAGTATTTGCGGCTATTTATTACACTATTCCCTGCTTGGTTGTAGCGATATTATCATATTTGCAAGTCTCAGACATTATTTTGTTTTTTAAGCAACATAACAAAAATTATAGACTTAGGAGTTGTAAAAAACTGGAATAATCCTTTAATTTGTTTAGCCCAAACTGATTAGCAGCTCCATAACTCAGATGGTATCAGCACACACTCTTCCTGATTTTGTGATGCAACAACCGACTAGCCGCTCCCAGGTCTTGACCAGGTTTGGTCCTGTAGTCCGTGTTTCCAACGAACAGATAAAGATGATTCTACACCCGACTACGTGGTCATTCCCTATCCCATGTTTCTATCTGCATCGCTCCCTCCTGCTGCTCCTAAATCCTTCTCTCAGGTTTCAAAACTTGGCCAGTGTGTGTGTGTGTGTGTCTGCAGTGCAGGGAGGGTGTTTTGTTACTGGGCGGCTCAGTGGGGCGCCACAGTGAGAACTCTGACCCACAGCTGGGCTTGATCAAGACCAGGAGGCCTGATGGTGAGGAAGCACATCACCTCTACCTCTTCTCAGGGAATCTGTGGGTCTGACATCAACGGTTCAAGTGTTATGAACAAAGGTCCTCCTTTTATTAAGCATGTAATAACCTTGTGTTCTGTCTGTCTTTGTTTTGATCCTAGTGATTCTGTACATATTGTTTGTAGCCATTTAGTCTTAGTATTAATTTTCCCTGGTTCCATTTCTTTTCTCTTTTAAAAAGAAAAGGAGCTCTTCACCAGAGCATTTCCTTGAATATATGAAGCACTTAATCAGGGACGTTGCTGTTATGCAGTATGCCTAACTGTTCTGCTTCAAGGACGCCCTATCCTGCAGTGAATACCACGTGACCAGAGCATATACCCGATATGCTTCAATCCATTCAGATCCACTTAGGTTTAAAAAATTGTGACAGAAAGACCTCGGACTAATGGCTACAAAACAAGACTCTATATATAAATTACTGGTCCAAATATCAGTCTGGGTCGTTTTTTTTACTTTGGAGTGTTTTCCTTATTTGGTATAATATTCTGGTCCTAGGAACACTGGTTTATGAAATGCTCTCTTACTCCTGATTCCCCCGCATGACTCATATCTTCCTTTATTTATGACTCAGGCAATTTCTCCTAGAGTTGAACTCACTCGCTAATGAAACTGATGAAGCTATTTGTCTTACTGCAGCCTCAGAGGCAGCGTGACTCATCTGCCTTTCGGCTGAAATAAAGTGAGACGGCATTTCCTGCGAGTATCTGCTTCAGTAGATAAGACCTCAGTTAGAGAGGTAGTCTCTCTTGATAATAGAGCTTTCTCCACATAACATAGGTGCAATATGTGGCCAAATGTAATCTAATAGAAACTAAGTTCATATTTTATTGCCTGTGATGGATCCCCAAAAAAAACACAATAACAATGAAATGTCTAAGCAGGGAGATGAACTTGTGTTCTTGGCAGCGTCCTGCTGGTGTCCAAGCACATTCTCACTCTCGTCACACTCAACATGAAGTCAATGGTGTGTGCAATGTAGTGCTGTGCCTGTGTGTGCTCCAAGAAAAACGCTGAATACTGAATCTCGACTTTTACCCACCCACCCACCCACCCATTCATTCACTTGTCTCCCATCGGGTATCTATTGGAACAGTGCAAGGGCGAAACCAAGCACTGATTGGTTCTTCCAGACTGATGCTGAGGGCGACACCCATTCCCTCATCAACTGGCCCTCGAGGTACACCCAGGCTGGTTGTGTCTCACCCCTATATCACCTGACGTGTTTCCATTCAACTGGACTTACCAAAAACTCATCAACCCTTATGAGCAGTGCTTCTTAAACTGTAGGACAGAACAGAAACCAGTACTGTTCCCTACAAGACTATACCCTGTCTCATCTTAAGGAATAATCCTGACTGAGACACAAATGTTTAAGAAGCTCTGCTCTGAGCCCTGAGACTCAGCTGACCCCTCATCATGATCATCCTTATTACCGCAAGCTCCTGTTCCCGCTTTGGACCATAACTCCATCTTCTACGCATATGTTGCTGTGTTCAGTTTAATCCCCATGTGAAAACAAACCTTTTAAAAGGAAAATATTATACTAACCATCATAATTAGGGATATAACATTGGGTTGTGACCCTACATTATGGGTTTGGGGGCAAGTTAGTCAGTGTAGGCTAGGGTTGGTGTAAAAGGAATTGCTATAGCTTTTTTTGGGCATGACTTTTCGTAAGTGTCAGTTGGCTAACCCATGACTATCCTTAATAGAAGTTTTTAATAAAAAGAATAACAATAGGACTTCATATACAAATGTGTGCTCTGTTGCAAACCGTTTGACCATCAGGCCTATAACTATCCTAAACAGATAATATAACAATAGAAACATGAACAATTAAGAGACATGTGCTGTGTCTTTTCATGTAGATACAAATAACCAGCCTTTTTTTCCCCCTAAAGAATCAGAGTTAGGGAGAGGATTGCCAGGGAGGACCGTCAGAGGAGCCCAGAGCCTGGAAACGTTACAGAAGCTCCAGTGCACCGCAGACACCAGACCCAAACATCTACACGCTCCAATACAGACCCCCCGCAAATGTACTCCCATCCCCACCATCAACCCCGGGCTCAGCTCGCCCGACCTGGGCCACCAGGAGGACAGGAAGTTGGCGGTAACCACAGTTACCTGTCCATGGCCTCTGGTCCCACATCCACAGCGGGGCAGGATCAGCAACAACTGCCCCAGGAGGAAGAGACGGAGGGTCTTCTGAGGAGCCGGAAAGCAGTGCTGCCCTCGGACATCCGCCGCAGGGAGAGGAGCACTGAGGACCCCCGGAGAGGAAGGTGGGAAGAAGAGATAGGGATGTCCAGGGCACAGAGTCTTAACCAGGCAAGGAAGGCTGAGGCAGAGGATCCTACAAGAGGAAGACACAGAACCAGGGCCGAAACAGAACACACTTCACATCTGCAAGCCTCAGAGAGCAGGCATAGAGAGCGGGACAATGCTGTTGATATTCAGAAAGGGGTAGCGGCCACCCAGATCCAGCCAAGAGCAGCACATGCAGACCCAGGAAGCCCCCCCTCCAGCCGCTCGATGTCAGATGCTGGGGTTTCCAGAGGAATCACTCTGAGGAACCAGCAGCATCGCGACCCCCCTGAGGTCAGGGAGGGGGATGGTTCCAGTAACCAAGAGGGTCACCAGGACAGCCGAGTGTCTGTGGCCCAGCTCAGACATTCCTACATTGAGAACACCACCACCCCTCCAACCAGCCGCATAAATAAGCTGTAGGTGTCAAAGTAAAGTGGCTACTCGCTGGCTGGCTTCTCTAAAACTCACACAGATGCTTGTTAACCAACATTGGCTGGCTTCTGAATGACTAACAAGCAACTAAGGCTGGAGTGAATTCATCATCAAACGAGTTTCTAATCTGTAGAAATGTCATTCATGCTTTAATCGCCTAACACTAAGCTTCATATGATGGATGTTATTTGTTCTTCATTTATTGTGACTTGTTTGGTTACCACCTGGGGCCAATGAACGTATGCACGCCATAACCACTATTACATCTGCATGGTCTTGTTCACATCTTTGATTTAAAATACAGGGGTGTGATGAATATTTAAACTTATACCTCTGCTTTTTAATATCTCCATATTTGCGCCCAGTCCCGCTCTATCTCTCCCTCACTATGCTGTATTTTCTTTTTCCTTTTGGTACTATATCTGTTTGTCCCTCTCCTTGGGTGGCCCCTCCAGTGAGGTTGAAGGGGACAGTGTACTCACAGGCCATGGGGCCCCATGGAGAGGTGAGAGGGGCAGGGGGCGCAGGCCCCGGCAGTATATCTATCCCGGGGAGAGTAGAAAGACCTCCGAGAGGTTTAGGACGCAGCCCATCACTTCTGCTGAACGCCAGGACACTGATAGGTACTGCTCTGGACTCCAGAGTGCATGGCTGAGAGTGATGAATGCTGGGAAATATCAGTATGATCATGCATGTAAAAAAAAAATGTTTTGATCGGAATAATGTTGATTTTAAATCCAGTTTACACAAGCACACATGCTGTGTACACGATCACTTTCTTTGTGATTGTACCCCTATAACAACATTAGCTAACAGGGAAGCTTAAAGGCCGAAGGTCCCTGTGATTGGACCTTGGCAGTGGTCATTACATGTGACCATACCAAGAAATCATGAATTGGCCTTTTGTTGGTAATCACTCCCTGAAACCATGGAACCGCACAGACTTTTGTAATGCAGTCTAAATCTCCAGCTTAGTCTGCTTTACTAAACTCTGTTTCCCCTTTTGCATTTCATTCCCCTAACACTCGCTGTCACATTTCCAGCTTACAAGAAACAACTGCTTCTTATTTCGTCTCCTTACCTCCTCTTGACCAGCTTTCTCTTCCTGTCGCTAACCACTCACCACCCTTTCGTAATACCGAGTTATGCATTGTAGCATGGATGCTACTCGCTTTTGCTGATTGCCCTTTTCTTTGTGTACCTTTTTGAAGGTCCTGTGTGAGTTCAGATCTTCCTCCCATTGAAGGTAAGTCCTTTTCCCCCTTAATTTAAAGATATTCAGTACTTTACTGTAACAGTAGGTTGACATATTATGCACATGTTCTATCGTACATTGTTAGTGTGTCTAAATGTTTTGACATACAGTTATAGACTTGTAACGATATAAATTGCTCAACATATTTCTACAAACGCATGTACTGTATAGTGTAAAGCTCATGAACTGCTGTAGCCTCTGTACACAAGTGTTGAGGAGGTAATTGATTAAGCATGGCTAGCTTTAGTGGAATTAACAGCATGACTAGAGCATCCGTTTGACAAATTAGATTAGTTAGCTGGCACTATTATCTGCATAATGTTTAATGTTGCATTCACAGCTATAAAAATATTCAATATCGATTTCACTTATATTGGCTCGGATGTGTACAGTAATGTGCATGACTTTACTTGCCTTCTGTGGTCAATACTTAACTTTACAAAGCAATATCTAGTCCACCTATACTGTTCCCAATGAAAACAGCATGATTACCGCGGGCTTCACAGTTGCCGCAGGACACAAATGAACAAAATGTGATTTTCCAGTGCCTTGATATTATAGCTTTAAGAATAGACAAATGGAGACCAAATGAAGTGAATGTCCTTTTGTACCATAAAAGTGGAATATTTCCAAGTGGATTTTATAGAGTCATTACTTGTGCTCACAGTAGCATAACAGCACAGCAGCTCCACTGAGGGCAGAAACAGCTCATCTGCTTCTTATAAGCACATACTCAGCTGGGACGCTTTTTTCACTGAGGAGAATTAGGGGGAGTAGTGCTCAGCGCAGCGGCATCAGTCAGAAGGAATAGTTGTTGGGTGATGTCATGTCATATGTCTTACAGAGAGGTGTGTGTGTGTGTGTGTGCATGCAGCCATGCTTCTCACACATGTCTAGCTCTGCATAGTCTCCTCGATAACACCAGTCGCACGTTTGCTGGTTAGTCTTTGCTCCCAGCTTTAAAACCAGACGGTGCTGTGTAGTCATGAAGGTAAACATAATAACGGTGATCGGTGGATCTGAAGAACATATCACAGAAAAAATGTGGTGTTTAGAAATAAAATCTTGGTTCCTCAGAATAGATTGAATATTTAGTTAAACCCTGGTGGAAGTTTCACCTCAACAGTGAAATTGCTGTTCAGTATAAGTAGAAGATTGCCCCTACAGACGGTGCTTCAATTTAAACTCTAATAAACACTTTAAATGTAATGCGATTGATGAATTTTCACCTTTTGAGTTTCTTGAAGATCAGTTTTTCCCATAATGTGATTTGTGGCATGTGGACAAATAATCGACTGCTCACTAGGCTGCGCCCCCCCTTAGTTACTGCCTGTAAGCCAGTCAAGCTTTGCATTCCCGCATAGTAAATATAGTTTACAATGATCATGGTTGTAGATTGTCCCCCTCAAAATTCTTAGGAGTCTTTAATACAATGGTTCCTTAGACTAGAGCTGAAATGACAACTCTCACAAGCCATAGCCACGTAATGTAAGCTCCATGAATAGGTTGAAAACAGCAGGCTGAATTTTGAATGTTTCTCTCTCCGTTTCTTTCCCTGCAGCTGAGGATGAGAAGCTAGATGATCGAGCCAAGCTGAGTGTAGCAGCCAAGCGCTCTCTCTTCAGGGTGAGCTTCAACTATCACCTACAGTAACCCTATCTATAGCCTACATGTTGTTTTTAGACACCAAGCATAGAGAAATCTGCTTGCAATCATGGACATGCATACATTGACACTGTCCTGATTTTATTTTCTGTTCTACTATTACTGTAAGGATTTGAAGATAAAGACTTTGATAAGACTTTGTGTTACATACTGACCTCAGACTTGCCTTCCTAGTCTCTTTTTTCTTAAGCTGAGGTCAATATAAGATACATGAATTACCTATTAACAGCTTTGATAGTAGTTATGATCCTAATGCACTTCATCTGTCTTCAATCACTATAATGTAAGTTTGATCTACTTTGGTTGCTAATTTATTTGTCAAACCCATTGTCACTGTTTAATGAAATATTTCCTTGATTTATCCCCAACATTTCCATACAGGAACTCGAGAAGAGAATTGATGGCGGAGCTCCTAAGCATCGATCCAGGAATGCAGCGGTGGACAGGAGACTAAGACGGACACAAGATCGATCCAGAACGCAGCCTGTCACCACTGAGGAAGTTGTCATCGCTGCCACGTAAGCCTATAAATACTTTAAACAACCACAAGCATTATGATGCCGCAACATCATCAAATGTTCTGCTCTGGACTTGATTAAACATTTTATTCGAAATTCTTCACAAATTCTGAAATGACACTGTGGTTTAAGCCTGCAGCCATCTTTCTGAACCTCAACCATCTTTATATTCCTTTCCCTTAGTTTGAATGAACCATTTAGCTTGGAATTCATCTGGTTCATTCCCTGTGTGTTCTCTGTCCACTCTGTATGTCTGTGACTTTGTCCCTGTCCTTCACTACTGTAGCGTCCCCACTCACGTGCCACACACGGTGACTGTACACACTGCTGTGGCACGCGTCCCTAGCCCCACCCTAGTTTGCAGCACTGTCCCACCATACAGGTACAGGGCACGGACATGAATGCTCCCACCAACCTACAGTGTGTGACTAACATGATTGATCTTTACTGAATGCTGCTCATACACCACGGCATAGTGTTCTTTTTCAGAGTGGGTTTTACACCACAGGATGTAAATGGTTGGCTTTTTGAGTTTTGGTGCCCTCCTGTGTGATTGGAGGAAACTACATGATTTAATTGTTACTATTATTATGAGTTTACTAAATATCACAGTTTTGTTTGTGGTGGGCATGACTCACTCCTGTGTAACAACCGTTTTTAAACTCTTAAAGCTTCACAATGTTGCCTGCAATGTAGCATGCTGCTAGCTAGCTTGCATGAGCTCCTTCCAATGCTTACCAGAAGTCTCCCTTTCTCCTACCTCTTTGTCTCTGGGATGTCCCCCCACCCTTAGCCTGCAGGCATCCATGCAGCAGAGCAACATGGCCCGGGAGCAGGCACGGGAGGCCCGGCAGGTGCAGGAGATGCAGGAGGTCCAGGCTTCAAAGCCAGTGTCCACAGTGGAGGGAACGGGCCAGAGTCAAGGTCAGGACGAGCCTGACCTCTGCACCCTCAGCCTGGCAGAAAAGATGGCACTGTTCAACAGACTGTCTCAGCCTCCCATCAGGGTGACCCGCACCAGAGGGGACACACGCAATCGCAGGGCCAACGCTCGCTACCAGACACAACCCATCACCCTGGGAGATATGGAGCAGGTAGGCGAACTACAGGATAATACTTACTTTTCTCCCCATACTTTTTTGTTTCACTTTCTACTGAAGTTACTATTACTGTTAACCATTATTGTTATGAACATATTCATTTAGGACAACATAAGTATTCTAATAACACATTGCCTTATTATTTGGCTTTTAAGTGTCATGTTATATTGCATTTGGAAATATCTTGTTTTAAAGGAATAACTTCACTGTTTGTCCATACTCAAACTAAAATTAAAAAAAACAATTTTGTGGTTTTAAGAAAGTGATGGGGCCACAACTGTCATCTCAACCGACAACGATTATCTCCAGGTGTTGATTATTTAAAGGAAATACTGTGTACAAAAGTATTCATGCCTATTGGCTTAAGATAACATATGACACTCTTTATTCTAGATTTGTAAACAAACTCCCCTAACACACTTTTACTTGGAAACAACTACAGCAGGTAAAAACAGAATAAGACTACCTCGAAAAAGAAAGATGTGATATTAGGACTATTGACCATCATACAAGTGGAAAACTGGCCGAATAAAACAGTGGCCCCTTCCCCATATATTTTGCAATTAATTATGGTAAAACCTGTCTAAGAAATAGAGAATACATGAACCAAGCATTGTAGCCTGTGCGTGTTTCTGCTCCAGGAGCCTTCAGACATAGACTCCCTTGATGAACAGGAGTTATCCGACAGCCCAGTAGAGCTCCTACAAGTAAGGTTCCTCTGAACAGTCACCATGCATTTGCCTGAGACAATGGAAGTGACAGAGCTGGGGCACTCTTCTCAGAAATGGCCTTACATTTCTGTGAACACGTGCTGTTTGGCATCCTATATCCATGTTGTGTGATTTCACTATGAATGTAACGAGCATTGCCCGGCTTCTGAGTAAGTTCTGACTCAGTTCTCATCATCATGCTGTGTCACTGTGGAGGGTGTGATGGGTGATGCTGCTGATGACATGAAAGATGTGTTGGAGGAGAGGGGTACAAAAGCACTTATACTGTTGTTCGCCAACACATGGACTGAAAGCAGCTATTTTTCATCAGCTCGTTCAGAACTGGCAATTCTTTCTGAGAGGGAAAGCGTGGGAGAGCTAATCGAAGCAGAAGATTAAGACATTTAAGGATTCTATTTTGCAAGATGGTTTTCATGGATGTTTACTGCTGCTTCTCATTTATTACTCATCAACAATGTCTGGTTAGTTCTTTAACTGAAGTTATGAATTTGGAAAGTATGTATTTTGGCCACAGCATTGTGAGTGAGGGAGTATGCTGGCATGGCTTTGTGATGTGGGCTGCAATTGACTGGAGAGATAGGCTGCCCTTTGATGCTCAGGAAGTGCAGTGAGTCAGGCAGGCGCTGATTAGTCAGCATGATTCTCTCAGTGTTGAGTGTGTGTGTGTGTGTGTGTGTGTGTGTGTGTGTGCAGTTTTCCTGACATGTTTTCTGTATCGCAAATGGACCAACTTTTTTCTTTGCTTGTGTCTCTTGCTTCCTCCAGCTTCATAACGGAACAGGCTCTCGGCTCCCTACTTCATCCTCCTCCTCTGCTCTGAGAGAAGGCACAGTCTCCACTGACCATGCCGGAGACATCCACATAACCAGAGCAGCAGCCCGGGTTGAACCCCTCCCTCCCAGCTCTGACCGGTCCCTGCCCCCTCACCACCCAGATGCACCCTCATGGAGGTCCCAGGAAGTCACGGACCACCAGAGGTACCAAAACGTCCCCCAGGGAGAAGCTGGCACTGATCTGGGAGGAGGGAAGAGGAAACTAGCCTCTCCTGAGGGAGAGGTCAGGCAGGCCGCTCTGCCCCAGCCTCAGAGTGGCAGAGAGAGGAGGAGGGAGGAGGTGGTGGTGGAGAAGGGGGAGGAGCAGTGGCCTGCCGGAGGGTGGGGGGACGTGCAGAGCTCAGAGATTAACATGCTCCAGGAGAGGCAGGAGGAGTATCTGAGGGAGGAAGAACTCTACCCAGAGAGTCGGAGGAGCAGGGCCGTCAGTAGAGGTAAGAACAGAAGACCAGGATCCGGCCAAACCTCTGTTGATATTTATTTTGTATAACATAAAAAAAATAAGCTTGTCAGCTAAAGGAAGTTGGCTATTAATATTTAATGAGCCAAGTCCCAAGAATACAATAAATATAATATCATTTTCAATTTGTTTTAATAATAAACAAATGTTCTCATGCTAACACATGACTTTGTGAGCTTGATTACCATTATTCCTGCTAAATACCAGCATGTTTTACTGATCAATTTGTTGTTCTCAGGTTGTCATGTTAGCAAAGTGGAAAAGGAATCCTTGTAAAATTAGTGTGGGTCTAATAGATTATAATCTAAGAAATGAAAGTGATGCTGAAGTGGATTTTAAATATTTAAAGAACAAACTGTGAGACTAAATAAACACCGGTGTCAATTGCAGGCCACAGTCAACAACTATTCCTCACAGTCAACCACATTTCCTGTGACCGTGACAATGTTAATTCAGATGGTGGTTTTTAGGCTTCCTCCATGTCTGAGCAGCAGACACTCGGAGCCAAACACTTTGATTCTCTCTGTATCAGAATACATATTTTCAGAGAGCACAAACATCGGTCAGACGATTGTTGTATCGTGATGGAAAAGTATGGAAGCACACACAGAAAAATGGCAGTACTTTTGCTAGAGAGCTTCAGTGTTACTACAAAACAGCGTGGGTTATTTGATTACAGCTGTGGCAGGGGGGTAAAAGCTGTGAGAGTGTCTGCGCTGCTTCTCACAGGCAGACAAGAGCCTCTTGGTAAGCATGATAGATGTTTGCTCCCACGCTGTTTTGTGCTGCTTAGCTTGCACTTTAAGAGTCATGACTGTACTCTTTTATACAAAACCTTATAGTCATTCAACTTTGTGTAATTAAGAGGCGTGTATCCTAAATAGGAAATATCATGGAGTGTGATACGAGCAGAAAAGTGCCATTTAAAATCCATTCCTCTATGGGCAGCCGTTCATCTTTATGTAGTGGATGTCCATGTATTGATTTAAATCCATCATGTGCGTGCTTGTCTGCTCACAGATCTGCCGGAGTCCGCAGTGGTAACATCCAGAGCAGCATCTGGCTCGCCCAGGAATCTGTATCAGCTGCCAGACACACACACAGACGATCTGTATCAGCCTGACGAGGGAGATGAGCTGAGCAACATGATGATGGCCAGACAAATGTCCATCAAAGAGAGGTGAGCCTGGTGTGTGGTGCTGTGCCGGATTTAAGGCTTTGATTGAGTTATTGTTTTTCTTCCTTTAGGCGTCTAAAATGCTGTTTTACTTCATGTATGTCATGTGCTAACACTCCTTTTGGGTCAGTAGTTCAGTAAAGGATGACATTTAGACAAAAGAGGGTTCATTTTCATTTTTCATTATTAGTTTTTTATCCTTTGTAACGTTAAATCATTGTAGTGCATTAAGCGCACTTGTTCATCATGTCCATTTGACTTTCAACTGACATCTGTATTGGATGAAATTGTTACATAAATCTAGTTATGTCACACAGACTAGTCCTCTTAGTTTGACACCATGCAGCCATTACGCTCCAAATTGATCGATGACATAATAGAAGTACATGTAGACTGGTAGTAAAGGCTGTGCTTGTTCCAGTGTGTTTGTTGTACTTTGTCTCACTCCATCACCATGTCAGTCTTTCAGTCCTGCCCATTTTCAAAGGATTTTACAGGAGGCAGGATCTGTATCCTAGATACAGCTGGACACATGTATTCAGAGTTACTTTCATCCTGTTTTTTGCCGTTCTTGTGGAGCCCCGGGGGCGGGACAGGACGTCCACACACTGGGTCACAGAGGGGTGGTTGTTAGAGGGGCAGAGGGCACCGCCAGCAGTCTGACCCCTCCATTATGGGTCTCATCTGCACCATACTCAGAGATGAGAGCTCAATAATTAAGCCTCTGTTCTTGACTCTATACTTCAAGCTCAAAATATTGCTAAACTCCGATCATTTCTTCCTCTGAGAGACTAATTCACACTTTTACTGTATATCAGGCAGGCTTTACTAGTGTTTTTAAACAGATTTTTAAAGCACTTCATGGTATACTCACCAACACATTCTTAGTTGGTATGCTCCGAGCTAATGGAACAATCTGCCTGTGGATTTAGAGGTGCTTGAAGTGTTCGAATCTTTGAACATTACCTTTAAACGTACCTACACGATTCAGCCAGGCCTTTTACTAAAAAAGGATTATACTTTTCTTTCATATAATTTTTCAAAATTGGTATTTATGTGACATTTTTTTCTTGTTCTTTGTTTTAACTTGTTTCTCTTATTTCTTGCTTGTCAGTCATACTGTATGTGAAGCAGATGTTAAGTTTGTCACCCAAAAACTTCCAATAAGTATAAGTAACCCAGTTTTCTACAGCTCATTTTAAAGACTTAATGTTAAAATTCTAAATCTAAAATCAGTATTTATCATAGAACGATTTTCCAATATGTGTCTCCTATATTTACTTTAGCTAAAATGAATCCAAGCGCATTTTGTTTCATTTTAACTGTTTAAATCTAACCCTGTCAAATACTCTTCCAGCAGTTACACTGACTGGCATCTCTAAGTGATCTGTATGTCTTATTGTACTTAAACTGTCACCAGTGTGTTTACCCAGAACTTAACCTTATTTCTAACCGTGGTTGCTAAATGACATGCTGTCTGCATGGAAGACAGCAAAAACTAAGCAGAGGCAAACAGTCCTGCAGATGAGACTAAACGGCACAAGGCAGCATCCCTTTTTGTTGTTGTGACGGGTTGAGTTAAAAGCTGAGAGGAAGCTAAACTGAGTTTTTAGCATATCCCTTGTGCAAAGGGTGTCTGTCTTTATTTCATGCATATTATATTGTGTTTTTACTTAAGAATCTCTGTGTGCATTTTTTCCTTATTTGTCATTAGGCCTATTACATACAAGCTGGTAATAGGAATAGTTTTGGTATATCATTATTTGTTAAGCGTTAGATGAGTAAGGTCTCTGTGTTCCAGCTGGTTGAACAGCTTTATTGACCTCATTACTATTTGCATTATTGTGATTTGTTTTTTTTAAATATTGTTTTTTCTTTTGTCAGTCTGGTCAAAACACTTCCTTCTTAAGCATATTCTTAAAATGTGTACTGTAATTTCTCCCCTAGTGAAAACTTTATTGTAACTCTATCTCTCCTTCTGCTTTCTCTCCATCTCAGAGTGGCCTTGTTGAAGAAGAGTGGCGCGGATGACTGGAGGAACAGGATCAATAGGAAGCAGGATGTGATGAAGGGTGACGTGGGCGAACAGCAGGCTCAGCTCTGGGAGGAGGAGCAGAGCTACAAGAAGAAGGTAACCACCTGACCTGCACACTCACTGAGACTAACAGACAGACAGGCAGGCGTCTGCGGCTATTATGTCTTGTCTGTTACATCATGACTATACTCCAAATGTGTATAAAAGATGGCAAACTGTCTTGTTTAAATTACGTTGAACATTTCAGGAGCAAGTACACATTTCAAACACAATAACTCTTGCTGGGAACAGCTTTTAACAGACACTCCAGCACTCTATGACACTTGAATGCAGCTCTAATGCAGCGCAGTGACATGCCAGTGAGGCTATAGTAATTAGATTTGATCCAGTGTTGTATTATCACAGAAAGCATTTCCTGTATCAGTCTCTGAAGTCTGGCTGTTGATCGGAAATAGTTTGTCAGAAGGAGGACAGCCATTAAACAATCAGTTCAGTAGAATCCTGAAAGGGCACATGGTAATCATTTTGGATGTCTTCAAACAGAGAGGTTGTGTATTGTCCATGTCTTTCTTCGGATCTTTGTCTCTTTCCTCTATTCTGTCTCTTGTTTTTCTGCTTGGACTGTAACAACACTTAAATGGCATGAATTTCAGTCATGGGAGTAAAATAGATACTGTTGTATCTGGATCAGTCGCACATTATTTCTTATTTCATGCTGTTTGTATTCAATGGATATTTTAGTGTACTATATTTCATTTTGTATATTCAAATGAAATCATTTATTTTTATTTGAAAGGTGCTTTTTCTTTTGTGCATGAATGATAATACACATTTAACTATCATTAAACTCTGAACATTTGTTAGTGTTCCCCTTTAGTGTTTCCTCTAATATTCACATCAATGTGATATGGATTTAATCTTCAAATTGGCAGATTATGATCATCCTAAGGACATCATTTCAATTCAAAAGTCTAGTTGAGGCTGTATATTGCATGTATATTAAAAAATGTCCCTTTTTTATTTAATTAAATAGCATTGCAATTATCATGCAATGTTGAGATTCATTGTAATTTTAATTTCTGAAGTATTTGCATATTTTCAACCATGATTATAAAATAAAAACAGTTATTTAAAATTAGGAAAAAATGGAACATTAAATGTATACATTTGTATCAATTTGTTCCATTTAAATGATTGCAGCCATAATTGTCCATATAGCAGAATACATTGTTTATTTGTTACAGTTGTGATTTGAGATTATCAAGAGCAGGGTACATTAGGATGAATTTGAAAGCCTAATTTTGCCCAAATTCCAAACACATTGAGCTACAAATAGAAAAGTTAAATACTTTGTGTGTGCTTTTAATACTGTACTTAATGTCAACAGTCAGTGTGTATGTACAGTAGCCTCTGTTTTTCCATCTTGCCTGGCTTTAACCTTGCTTTCCACTGATCTGCATGTAACCTTTCATTCTTCTGTTTCCTCTGTCTCTGTTTGCATGTCCTTTACCTTAATAAACTGTATTTCATCCTCTGCATGTGGAGTGTTTTTCTGTGTTGGCATCCTTTGTTTGTTTTTGAAGGAAGGGTTAGGGTGGGATGGTACATGTACCTCTCTGTTTAGACATATTCAAACTGCTACCATCCACATCAGCTGCTGTTTTTGTTTCCAGCTGCTTATCAGGGTTTGTTCAGCCCGAATAACATTCAGATTTGAGGTTGTCCGTTCATCTAAGGTCAGATTCAACTGTTTTTGACTGTTTTGAGCAGCCAATTTCTGATGTTTTCTACAAAGAGCATGATGTTTTCATCAAATCGGGACCATAAATGATTGCGAAGTAGAGGTCAAGGGAAAGGACAGTTAATATTGTTCATCTTGTTTTCATCCTCCCACTCATCAGGGCCAGTGAACACAATTCAATAAATGTCCTCCTTCAGATCAAAGAAGAGCCAGATCTAAGATAAGCAAGATACAAAACGAATGCCAACTAAGCAAAGACTCCCATTGTTCCAAAAAGAACATGTTTTTGGGTGGAATTGCCAATCTCGTTACACCATAAATTCCGTAGTCTTGGTGCGTTCCACCAAAGTACACTTGTTAAAGGGCCTCAAAAAGGAAACTAACAGATTAGAAATTCCAATCGGTGTATCAAAAATGTTTTATATGGGAGTTGATCTTGTGATTTGGCCGTGAAATTATTTTCCCGGAAAACAGAGCCTTTAGCAACATCCTTTTCTCTCCTGCGACTTCTTGTGTAGGACGATGAAGAACTGATGATGATCGATGAGTTTGCTGTGTCCGACCAGCTCTGGGTAAGGCCAGTGTGCAAGGCCGAAAACACACTGAACACACTGCGGTGCTATTTATCAAGTGCTTTTCTATCGGATTGGGTTAGTCACAGCTTTACACTGCCTTTCCTGCTCTTGATAAATACATCCAGAGTGTGGCAAACATGTGGTGAAATTGGTAGTGGTACCTTGTGATGGTGTTTCCCTTTAGGATCAGGGTGAAGGTGTGTAACTGGTTGGTGTGTTTCTTTAATTCATGCAAGCTCGGGTTTCAGAATAATGACTGTCAGTCTCACACTGTGGATGTGTTGTCTTTGTGCCTGTTTAAATGGGGTTTGTCTCTAATCTTCCTAACCTTTTTTTCTCGAGATATGTTCTGGAAATTTGACCTTTGTATGATGCCTGGAGAGGGACTATAATCTCTTTCTGATAGTCAAGGCCAGAACTGTTGTTGAACTTAAATTCAGACAGCTTGCCACACTTCTGCGCTCCCGTTTCCTCTCCATGCCTGATGCTCAAGGCTATACTGGGGTCATTTCCTCTGTAAAGAAGAGTTTACATTCTAATATTATGGATGATTTCTAGGCTGATTGCAATGTTAAGATAGACATAACATTTTAAGATTACCCTTTTAAGTGAAAAGAACACATTAAAGCTGCATTATCAATATTCTTCATGTATTACATGACAGGGGTCAGGTGTACTGACAAACCTACGGAATGATTAACCCTGTGTGCTGTACTGTAGACAAAGTTAGCCATTACCGTGGGATCATATTGGAGCATTTAGCATCTAAGGAAATGCACACATTAGCACAAGTCTGGTGAAAACATGATAACTAATGAGAACAAATATTGCCCTGCATCTGCTGAATGTTTAAGAAGGTAATTGCTTGCTTGTCCACCATAACAACCTTCTAACTTTATAAAATTGTCTATAATAATGTTGTATCTATAATATATTATAGGTTTACACATTGTGCTTCAAATAATTTAATTTAAATAATACAGGTAAAGTACAAAAGATTTAGCAGTCTTTTCCAGATTAAAAAAACAACAAATGAACTCTAATGAAACCAAAATAAAGAGCAAATAAATGTGTAGTCACCAAGCTCTGGCCAACTTAACTCTGATGTCATCACTATGACATAATCAGTGGTTAGTACACCTAAACGACTGTTCTTGCAAGCATTAACCATGACTACTAAACGTATCTTCATGTGTAAAATCTGTATAATACTATTACCCTTTTCCACGGCTATGTCTCTATAGGATCCGCTCTTTGGCTCTACCTTCTCTCCTCCACCTGAGCCTCGTTTCCATACTCCTTCCCCTGATGAGTCAGCAAGCCAGGTAAAAAGCTGCATTATCTCTAGCTGCATGCATTGCTTGCCGATTAATTGTGCCGCCACCTCCCTTGCTTTGGAAACCACACACCAATTCAAAACCCCATTGTTTCGACATGCATCTTCCCTGTACAGAGTAAGGTTTCTCAAATGCTGTTCAGCCATACCTGTGTGGGCATTTGACACTGAATTCCCTCACATTAAAAACCAATTCACCGACCTGGGCACCTTACGTTCAGTCACGCTCACCTTGCTCCACTTTCAAGCCACTTATCCCCATCCCAAAGCTTTGTCCCTTCGCCTATGAAGTCAGCATGGCAACCCCTTTAGCATCAAATGCTTGTGCAAAGCATGACCATTTCCGACCATCTTTTCATCCTTATCTCTAAATTCTCATCCTTTCTTACCTTCCTCATCCATCCTTTTGGTTGTGAAGACCATCAGATCTCCCAGACCCATGCAGGTGGATGCGAGACACCCCTGGAGACGGAAGGTGACCCTGTCAAATCTGTGCTCTCATACATTAAATCCCCAAACTCCCCCTCCAAGTAGTAGCCTTTGCACACATGTACATTTTAAAATAAAATGTGAACCTAATGAGTAATGTAATGTAAGTCACTAAAGGATACTTTCTGCCCTTGTTCTTTTTCATTCTTAACTTAAATGTGTTTTTTGTTTAACTCATGAGTGACACTAAAACCTTTTTTAACCTCTCTGCTACTTTGTCTTTTGTGGATATCGCTCGCTGTTAAAGCAAATACAACATTTAAACACTTATTAACAATCATCCAATGCCGATATAAGATGGTTCTATTGTGTTTTTCAGTATGTTTGTATTATTTTGTGTGAAACAAACTTATAAGAAAGTAATTTATTTCAACTCAAGTACCTTAGTCGTTCCAGAATTCTAACAAAAAGAAATATTGTGGATACAGTTACGTCATATACTCACAAAGGGGTTTCTGGAATGCATCGAACTTCACAAACTGAAGATATATTACAGCAAAGTACCCTCAGGTGGATGATTCCTTTAACTGTCAGTCTATCAGGAGCATTCATTCTAAAAGTTTGTATTGTAGCTGACAGTAACCTCTCCCTCCTCTTGTCTCTGATCTTAGAGAATAGCTGATTCTGAGATGGAGAGCCAGGGGAGCGATGCGCACATGTCCATCCAGGAGAGGAAGCTGCAGATGGTAGCCCAAGAGGAGGCCTGGAAGATGAAAGGCCACGGAGCCGCCAACGACTCCACCCAGTTCACTGTGGCTGCACGCATGGTGAAGAAAGGTCAGAGGGAAACTGAACACACATATTTTCACTTCATTCCTTCTCCATCTCTGAGAATTGCTATGCAAACAGGGTGCACAGTTCATATCACCTTAGAGTGTTAAGTCTGCCGTTCAGTCTTAGCTCTCTGCGTTCCTCCAGAGGGTGCCTGCTGAGAGACGGAACTTTTTTTAGTCGGAAACTTCCATATTAGCTTCAGGCTCAACCAGAGGGGGCAGCTGATGGCAAGTTTAATTTGTCTTTTGGGAGATTAGCAAGATTATAGCTAATGGAGTAAGGGTTCAGTGCCTTAGCCAGCTTCACAGGCACCTATAAAGTCTCTTTAGCTTTGACTGCCTTTTTAAAGTTAGTTGTTTGCTCTATTGCTATTGTTTCCTACACATGTACTACTGCTGCATATCGTTCCTTATCATGTAGAATATGACTTTAAAACACACACCTGTTGTTTTCTTTGTGAGGCCAACAACGGTTCACCACTCATCTATAGAACCAATGTTTTGGTAACATTGCCATTTTTGTCTTAACCTCTTAACCTTCAAGTGAAAAAAAATGAAATAATGTTTTTTCATAAATTGTTCATGCCATAACATGTATAGAGCATGGATGTTCACACCTTTCTCTGCTCATACAACAGGGTTGGCTGCCCCCTCAGCCCTCCAGTGCCCAGTGACCTCCAAACCCAAGAACAGCAGCCTTGCCATCTCCAAACCACAGGAGGGTCAGTTTCTTTTTTTTTATTCTTCCTCGCTTTTTTGTCATTACACCCTTGTAAACACTCGCCAGCCTGAGCTGGCCAGGTTCTTTAAAAGGGTTATTTAAGACTGTAGAGTTGAGCTGCTTCTCCAATCCAATTTAATCTTAACTGACATGACTTTGATTAACTGAATTGTTCTCTTGAACGTGGGTGTATTTCTCTGTTATACAATGTCAGACTCTCTGCGCTCACTGATGCTACATTTCGAGTTTTTGGAATGATTCTTGGACTCACCTCTTTCTAACACCATGTAATTAATTGTCTTTACTTCTTTTTCAAAAGACATGGAGGAGATGTCTGATTATGAAGGTGTATTCATTTTTTCCTTTCTTTTTGTTAGTGTTGCCCTGAATGCAATCATCATCATCATCGTCACCAAAACCACAAACATCATCACTAATGTGGCTGGTGTTGCTGTGAGACTTCTATTAGGTCATTATAGCCTAATAGAATGTAAACAATAAGACAAACTTACCATCGAGATGCATGGGTCTTCATTTTAGTAGGATTCATATTTAGCGGCTGTTTAGTGTTGTTAGAATGCCTGTGACTGATTGAGTAAAAATGCTCGGATTCTACTTCATTGTGACATATGCAACTGTTCATGCTCAGTCATTGTTCAAAGACATCTTCACTGTTGGCAAGTTGGCCTCTGAACAACAGAAACAGGGGCCCAATCCCAATCTTTGAACAAGCAGCTCCATCCATGTTTTTGGTTTTTATATCCCTTTCGTGCCTTCCTTCACTATGAACTGTAGGTTATCTCTCAGGCAGAGTCTGCAGTAATGTGGACTAATGGAAATTGCATAAAGGGATCACAGAGTTGCCAAGAGAGCCACATGAGAGCCCTCATGCACTTGTTGATTTGACAATGGGTTGGCCCTATCCCCTTGTTAACCTAGCATAACCCACCTCAAAGTGTGGACATTGGGATTGGGCCTCAGACTTCCTGCCTGTACAGAGATAGTCTTTGTGCTATATTCAAACACAGTCAATTTATGGCTCTAACAGCTGTGTGTGTATATGTGTGTGCGATTTGCAGAGATCAAGGCCGTCCCAGATCTGAACCTGGAGACGGACTTGAAGCTGGATAAACTGGAATCATTCTTAGGCAAGCTCAACAGTAAAGGTCAGTCTTGTTCGGAATGCTGTCTACAAGTTCAGCATGATCTGATGTCAGACCTTTCATAATGTTCACACAATGAGATGATTTTTTGACATTATTAACATACGACCAATTATTGATTCTTCTTCTCTTCAGCATTTGGACTGCCAGAATCAACCATCACAGTCACTCAGAAGAAGGTTAAGGCAGTGATGTCCATTGAGGATGAAACTTTTTCCAAGTTCTACCGCCAAGTAGAGGAAGTCCCCGCCAATACCAACAAGGTGGAGATATATGACGACTTTGATGCCATCTTCGGCCCCCAGGTCCCAAAGTAAGCTCTCACCAACAGAGGTCATTTCTAAGTAATACCACTGACTCAATATTCATTACAACACTACTTCAACTCTGTTGACAATGCTTATTCACTGACCTCTCCGCAGACTGGCGTCAGAGATGGTGCAGCACAGGCGAGCTGTGCGCCCGACACGTAACGTCCAGTCATCTAGGAACCCTCTGAAGATGCTGGCTGCCAGGCAGGACATCAGACACGAGTACACAGAGCAGAGGCTCAACATCGGCTTGCTGGAGAGCAAGAGGATGAAGACTGAAAAGAGTGAGTGGGGATAGATTAGGAGCTTGAAATGCATAAGACTAAAACACTTAGGAATACACCATGTGTTGCTTTGACTCATACTGACCTACATCTGGGTTGGAGTCAGTTTCCTGTCATTGTACAGAGCAGCGCTCAAAATCCTGACGTAGTCTGTAGCTTGTTGTGAGAGTGTTAGATGACCCACAAAGTCAATGTCATGATACTCCCATAACGTCCTCCTTCACCTCCTCTGACAGCAATAAAAACACTTGTGTATGGAGTGTTCTATATCAGTTGCTGTCATATAAAGACCAGGCTTACAAGGTCATTTAGCTGTTGTCTCATCTGTGTATAGGAGCACAAATGTAATGATTTCATGTTGTACTGTTTTTTTTATGTTTCTGTGAGTCTCATGTCCCCTCTCTGTGCTCTGTTGTGTCCACTACAGTGAATAAGAACTCTGGTTTCTCTGATGTGGCTCTGGCTGGACTGGCCAGCAAGGAGAACTTCAGCAGTGTCAACCTGCGCAGCGTCAACATCTCTGAGCAGATGTCCAACAACAGCGCCGTGCCTTACAAGAAGCTCATGCTCTTACAGGTCAAAGGTCAGTAGCACCAAAAGACAGCTCCAAACAAACACAGACTGGTGCATCTGCACCTCAAACAGGCCCTTGACTTGATGATGGCACTATAACATATCTAGTGAATTTTCATTAGGCAACTAGAGCTACACAACTAGCATTAGGTTAGCTTAGAGCTTAATTCAATCCAATACATTCAAAATTATTATTGTTTGCTTTTAACTTCCACAACAAGGTTTCTAATAGGGTAACTTACAAGGTCTTGTTTTAAGAGGGCACATAACCCATCATGTTGTGCAAAATAATACCTCAGTCTTCCATTGAAAGCCCCATCCTTCCAAAAGTAAATTGAGGTCAGCCTCCTTGAACAGAAAGGCTAAAAGATGCAACATGTTTACTATGCTAACAAGCCAGCCAATCAGAAAGGGTTCCAAAACATCGGCCTACTTTTTCCCAATCTTTTAAATGAGGTTGTATATTTTGTTAGACATAGGAATATATTGGCAGTGAGGCAATAGTGAAGCACCTTTACCCAAGTTACATTAAGTTGTCACGAGTATAGAAGGACAAATAGCTACTGCACTACACAAAGCTTTGGAGGATGCCTCCTTTCGAGAGGATATCTAAAATAGGATACATGAGTTGGTCTATTTCGGTGTCGTTACTCCTCCTTTATACGTCTGTTGGTGACAGCTGTTGCTCTAAATCATTCTCCTTAGGTCACCTCAAACTATCCAGGGATGATCCTCTTCCAAAAACCCCACTGTGTGTAATCCGGAACAAATCCACCACATGGGGGGTATCACTTTGTTAGGAAGTTAGCTACCTGCTTAAGAATAGCATCTGATGGCAACACCTGAATAGCCAATGGGATTGATTGTCAATGAGACAAATGTATGATATAACGTAGATTGCAAACCGTGGGTCCTTGACAAGGTGGACACGTGTACATACATGTTCAGGGTCAAATGGTGATGGCTGGCATGTTGTTGCCCCAACACCTTGTATGATAATACAGGCATGCTGACAGTGATATTCAGAGCTGTCACTGATAGCCACCTGTTCCTGCGTTGTTTTTTCCTGCCTATGTAACTCCAGGCCGACGGCACGTCCAGACCAGGCTGGTGGAGCCCAGAGCGTCCTCCCTGAACAGCGGAGATTGTTTCCTACTCATCACACCTCACCACTGCTTCATCTGGACTGGAGAGTTTGCCAACGTCATAGAGAAGAACAAGGTGGGTCCTGCTTTTGAGGGATGCAAAATAACAAAAGCAAAAATAGCTAGATTGAGACTTAAGTTTCAGTCAACACAAGCAGAGCAAGGGTGTAATCTGGGTAGGCCTTCACGTGCAGGATGTAAACACAGCCTTGGGAGGAAGCAATAGTGGCACAGCGCAACAGGAAGTGTGTGCTGACAGAAAGGAAATGTGTGTGTCTGAGGGTTGTTGCAGGAAATGGACACAAAACAAAGCTTACAGTAGAGTGTTCTGATGACCTGGCTCAACAGAGCACTGACCTCAATTGGACACAAAGGAAAGCTCTGAGTCATGGCCCTCATTATTTAAGAGGGGTTGTTTGAATTTAGGTCATTGAAGTTTGCAACCTCTTGTTCCTGAGTAATGAACTTGAACTTTTCCCCTCAAAGTAATGGGGTTGTGTCCTCCAAAAGTTAACCTAAAAAATGCATAGATTTATGTACCTCACATTTTATGGTGTGTCTGCCTTTGAAAGCACAGAAACCCTGTGTTTTTGATATAACAGAATGCATTGGTTTAATGTAATACAAGTGTTCTCTGTCATTCTTTCAGGCTTCAGAGTTGTCAAACTTCATCCAGAGAAAGAGAGATTTAGGGTGCAGAGCTAACTATGTCCAGGTCATCGAGGAGTGCGTCAGCACAAACAGCCATACTGCCAAGGATTTCTGGAAGATTCTGGGAGGGCAGTCCAATTATCAGTGTAAGACATTATAACTGGCATAAAGCACACTTTGAGAAACTAGATTCTGTAGCAATGCAAGCTAATGGCCTGGTCTTTCTTCTTGCAGCTGCTGGGACACCAGATGAAGACGAGCTGTACGAGAGTGCCGTTGTTGAGACAAACTGTATCTATCGCCTGATGGATGACAAACTGGTCCCAGATGATGACTTTTGGGCCAAAGTGCCCCGCTGTTCCCTGCTGAACCCAAAGGAGGTCAGACAGCCTGACTCAAATCTAAATGTATCTTTTATATGTTGTGCTGTAAATAAGCCACTATGTGTAGGGTTAAAATGTTTAGTAGTTTAGTGCCATCCAGTGGTAATATAAGAAATTACAAACATTTTTGTTTCTGTGCTTCTATGCAGGTCTTGGTGTTTGACTTTGGCAGTGAGATGTACATATGGCATGGAAAGGAAGTGACGCTGGCACAGAGGAAGGTGGCCTTCCAGCTGGCGAAGCACCTGTGGAACGGCACGTTCGACTACACAAACTGTGACATCAACCCGCTCGACCCGGGAGAGTGCAACACACTCATACCTAAGTACGGAAACATAATTATAGAACAAGAGTGTGTTTACACCTCTGTCTGTGGCTCAGGAGATTTAATAAATTTAAAGTAACAAAAACATGCCACAAAATGCCATAGATGACTGCATAGAACAGAACATAGAGAATAGTCAGTTGAAGTACTAGTATCTTTGTCACTAACGAACTGAATCCTCTTTACCTGCAGGAAAGGCCAGGGCCGACCTGACTGGGCCGTGTTCGGCAGACTGACTCAACACAATGAAACCACCCTTTTCAAAGAGAAGTTCCTTGACTGGAGCGACTCCAGGAAAACACCAAGCCCGACAAGAAACAACGACCACAACGCCGACCAAAAGGTATCCAAAAGTACTTCAGTATTATAAAAGTCTTATTACTAGGATAAAATGCCACAGAGAGAAAAATATAATATATCATTCTTAGCTCCATACTTCATGTTGATCTTTACCCCAGGAGCAGCCTGCCTCTGATCAGCGCCATGCGTACGACGCCTCTCTGATGCTGCCTCTGCTTCAGGCGCCCATCTCCACCAAACTGGAGGGGTTCAGTGTGGGGCGTGGCTATGGCCTGGTGGAGGCAGAGGAGTGGAGGAGCTACGAGATCATCACGCTGGCGGTGGAGGTGTGGCACATCCTGGAGTTCGACTACAGCCGCCTACCGCTCCAGAGCATCGGCCAGTTTCACGAGGGCGACACATACGTAATGAAGTGGAAGTACATGGTCAGCACTGCAGGTTAGGATTTTAAATTGTTACATATGCACAATCACTTATACAGTCTCAGCCAGTTTCTTTCCAAACTTCGGAGAAAAACATCTTTAGGCTGAATATGCTACTAATAAGATCATGCACTCTTCAAAAGCCACAACACTAGATGACCCTATTTGTTTATGTTTGTTGCTGTATCTCTACCGTTGCTGTGTAGTGTATATATAATATAGACAGGTCTTCTCTATTAACAGTCATTCCATGATGTTGTTGAAATGCCTCTCCTATAATGAGTATGCAAAATGTAAAACTCTTGAGAGAAATCTTCCAATGTGTCAGATTATCCAGTTTGAATTACAGTATCAATAACTTCCTTATAATATCTTGTTCATCACTAGTCACAAAAGCACATTTTTCAGATATTATGCTCGAAATGTATCTTTAACTGTAACTTTAGTCCAAATAAATAAATGTGTGTAAACTGATTTATTTAGGCCAAAACCATAGGTAAAGTTTATTATAATACGTACGCAGCATTTTCTTTTGCCAGGGCTGTAGTCAGTTATTAGTCAGACAATCTAACAAACTCTTCTCATCAGTTGGGAGGAGACAGAAACCGGATCAGCAGAAGACGGCGGGGGCCGGAAAGGAGAAGTGCTGCTACTTCTTCTGGCAGGGCCGCAACTCCACCGTCAGCGAGAAAGGAACCTCGGCGCTGATGACGGTGGAGCTGGACGAGGAGCGGGGAGCACAGGTACAAAAAAAGAGAGCAGATAACAAGTCTCTTTTCTTTGTCTGTCAATGTTTTGCACATTTAACTGCATAAGCTTGACTCCCCTCTCATTTCCTCTTCCTCCAGGTTCAGGTGCAGCAGGGTAAGGAGCCTCCGTGTTTCCTGCAGTGCTTCAAAGGAGGGATGGTCGTCCACTCAGGGAGGAGAGAAGAAGAGGAAAACTCACAGAGTAAGCCCACATAACCGCTTCAAGATAGTCATTCATCATCAAGACTAACACACGGTTTGCTCTCTGCCGCTATTCCATCATTTTGGAATAGGCCTAATAAGCAAATTGTGTATTTAGAGGTCCATATTTTCTGAATTATACATGATCTCCAACCATTCTAAATGGAAAAGACTCACAATGGCTGCTTAGAACTGAGTTAACACTAATGATTGCTTCGGTAGCAGTCATAAATTCATCATCTGCCCATAATGAGTGTCTCGTATATATGAGAACTGTGCTGTAGCTTAGGGAGAAATTGGATTACAAGTATAAAAACAACCCTGAGGGATAAACACTCGCACAGAAACTCTCAGGGACTCTTTATTTCCCACACCTCAAATAACCGAATTGTCTCCATGTACATAATAAGCTGAATGCCCGAAAATGTATCCTTATTTCTCACCTCTCACTCTGCCCCTGTTCCCCCCAGGTGACTGGCGTCTGTACACTGTGCGCGGGGAGGCGGAGGTGGAGGGCCACCTGCTGGAGGTGGCCTGTCACTGCAGCAGCCTGCGCTCCAGGGTCTCCATGGTGATGCTGAGTGTTAGCCAGGCCCTCATCTACCTGTGGCACGGCTGCAAGTCTCAGACACACTCAAAGGAGGTGGCATGTACCGCCGCCAACAAAATGAAAGAACAGTGAGTGGAATTTTGTTTGGTATAGTATTCAATCAGCAAGTGATACCAGAGGTGAAATTCAATCTTCTGTTTTACTGGACTTTGACTGCCAACAAATAATCAAAGCCGTTTCCTGAAACTTCTTTTGATCATCTTGTAAATCCATTTCTGATGTTTTGACACGTTTGCTCTTGTGCAGCTGTCCTCTGGAAACAGGCCTCCACAGCAGCAGCAAGGTTACCATACGGGAATGTGAAGAGGGAGCGGAGCCCACGGGATTCTGGGAAGCCCTCGGGAGGAGGGACAGGAAAGCATACGACTGCATGCTGCAAGGTAAGGGGATCAAAGTACATGAAACCCAATGAGTCATTTTCAACTTGTTTTTCTTTACTGTAAACACTTATGGATGGTGTAATTAAATGTTTATGTGTGTGTGGTTGACCTTTGACCCCCAGACCCCGGGAGGTTTAACTTCTCTCCGCGTCTGTACCAGCTGAGCAGCAGCTCAGGGGAGTTTGCAGCTGTGGAGTTCCTTTACCCTGCCAGAGACCCCAAGCTGGTCAACTCTATGCCTTTCCTGCAGGAGGACCTCTACTCAGACTCTCAGCCAGGTACACATCAATGCACATGTAAAGATAAAAACTATTTACTGGATGCTTTTTATATTCAAAGTTGATTTACACAACAACAAAGCTTCAGCTATTTCTCAATCTAAGTCATTTTACTAAATAATCAACACTAAAGCCCAATTCAACTGGATTTTCTTTAATCAAATCCACTTCTGAGAGTTAGGAGATTTGATAAGAATGTATCTGTGGATATTTATTTATTTGATAAATTAACAGATCATCAATCTTATTTATTTTTAAACTCTTGAATTTGGTTTATAAAATAATTGTGACTGATATATTTCCTGAGAGGAACATTTTACTATTCAAATAAGCTTATCAATGTTTAGAAATCACCTAAAACATATCGTCGGCATGTCCTTGCTGGACATTTTGTTGCATATATGTGACCCGCTCTATCGAAATCAGTCGGATGTCGCAACGGCTCATTTCAAAATAAACGTGGATTTGCGGAAAAAACTATTTTTTCGGGGTTCGGGTGTTTTGTTTGATTTTAAATAAACAAAGTCTTGGCTTTCAGAATATGAAACTTTTATTTCCAAAATCACACGATAAATACATTTGTGAAGCTTGTAAAGGGAAGATGACAGGCACCTCTCAATCGCAATCTGCTGTTCCGTAGCGCAGCTGCCCCTCCCTCCGGCTGAAATGATGAATGTAAGGCATAAGTAATCATAGATAACACGGCAGGGTCCGTTACAGTTTGTTTTCATCTGATTTCAATTAAACAAAGTCTTGGCTTTCAGAATATTAAACTTGTTTCGGCAAATTTAGATGATAAATACAACTATGAAGCTTGTAACGGCATATTTACAAGCGGAGAACGGAGTGTCACAGCAAGCATAACAACAGCCGGTGTTTCTCGTGAGTGTTTTCCCCGGGAAACGAACACAATATACACAAACGCAAAAATACACAAACACACACACACACATACACTCACACACTCGCGAGCTTCCCCCAGACCAGTAATCCAAACGGAAATATTTTCCCTCCGGACTATTTTGATCATTTGCTCCGCTAATAATCAATCAGATCGATGGATTCCAGAGAAGAGGAAACTTTGAAGGCCTTTTTCTCAAAATGATGACTCGGTGACAGTCATTATATAATGTGACATATTTTGCTTAATATTTGGAGTACAACAAAAATCTGGATATCATTAGAAAGCTAGGAATCTCCTCTTTCCAACAGTGTATACAACTCAAAATGTGTCTTCGGGTCAATGTGACTGATTTCGATAGAGCAGGTCACATATACCATCAAATAATAAATGAATATCAGCCTTTTTACGTAAAAGTGTGTGCAGCTAAGACTCGTTGCTATATCAGGAATATCACTCCATCAATGTGTGCTGAAGACATTCATGTTGATTGATGCTATATGTGTATTTTTCCCCAATAGGACAAGCAAGTAAACCATAACATGATTTTTTAAATGTATCCTGAACCTAAAAACTCTCTGTTAGTCCTCATCTTGTTTTCATTCTGGATCTTCAGCCTTGTTCCTGGTGGACAATCACCATGAAGTGTACCTGTGGCAGGGCTGGTGGCCTCAGGACAGTGAAAGCACCGGCTCAGCCCGAATCCGCTGGGACTCTGACAGGAAGTGTGCCATGGAGACGGTGCTGCAGTACTGCAGAGGTATACACTTCTATTATTAGACACATCAAACAACTTAAAAAAAATTCTTGTGGTGTATGATGCAACATTTAGCTCCTTCTTTCAGCATCAGGCAGTTTCAGATTATCTTAAAACAAATCTGTTCAATTGAAAATGATGAACATGAACTCCCCTTGGTAAAACCGCTGCTCTGTCATTGTTTTGATCCACAGAAAAGAATGAGAAGAAGCCTCCCAAAGCATATCTGATCCACGCCGGTCTGGAGCCGCTCACCTTCACCAACATGTTCCCCAGCTGGGAGCACAGAGAGGACATCGCTGAGATCACTGAGAGGGTGTGTGCATCCCATCATATTATCTCATTACTCCCAGCCACATCATCTGATATTAAACAGTGTTGCCCACAGTGCCTTCCTGTAGCCATTAGTGTATACACTGTACTGAAAAACAAGCACTTATTGTACAAAAAGAGACTTATTTTTCCAGGTGCAAGCCATTATGTCTCATTGATTTCCGAATTACATTTGTTGTCCACTATCCAGCTTCCTTATTTGATTGAAAAATGATATACTGTATTTCTTGTGTGTGTGTGTTGTCAGGAGGCTGAGGTGTGTAACCAGATCATCCTGGTGGAGGACGTGTTGGCCAGGCTGTGTAAGACCAAATACCCACTGGCAGAGGTTCTGGCCCGGCCGCTGCCTGAGGGCGTGGACCCTCTGCGCCTCGAGGTCTACCTCTCTGATGAAGACTTCGAGGTAAGAAACTGTTAAAAGGGATTCATGGTTCTTTAAGATATTAACTATCATGGCGGTCATTACATGAGTAAAAGAGAAAACCTTTAGCAGGAGAACAACATGTGTGTGTGACTCTGCAGTTCCCTCTAGCTCTGCAGTGTTTTTGGTTTTTAATTTAGTTTTATGTTTTTTCTGATCCACAACCTGTACTGTTTGAGTTTTCTGCTCCTCTGAACTGAATATTTATCTACAGCAAGTGGCTGAAAAGCTCAAATAAACTCACTGTACACCAACTGCCCAGCACCGAATGACAGCCAGTAAAAGTTAGCAGCTAGCTAGTGAACATAATGAAACGGATAGCAGCTACAAAGTCAAATAAGTACTGTTTTTAAAGTACAGAAAACATACTGTACTTTGCACCTTAAAATGATAAGACAGGTGTTGTTTCACACTCTTCGAATTGCCAATGCATCCTTGTGGAAATGACAATAAAAGAACTTGAAAGACGACAGACTTTAACCCCATAGAACTTATAATATGTTGAGTCAAATGTGACTTTAATCTTTCTTGTGAGGTTAAAGGCATATTTTAGATCTTCTCTCCAACTCTATGGCGATAGATGCATCATTCTGCTTTTTCAGATGTCCCCTATGTTCCTTGCTTTTTCCCTCTTTGCTCTTACAATCTTGTCTCCCATTTTGTTCTGCCATGCTTTCGCCATTTTCTTTTCTTTATGTGAACCTTTTCCTTCCTTCATCCCAACCTCCAGGGTTCAGGGGCTCATGGGAAGGTGAGTCGTATGACATGAGCATGGATAACCTGGAGTGTTGCACAGCATCCTCACTCAACTCAACCATGAACTATCTCTATCCCACTCATCATCATCACTTTTTTTCTAACCCATCTTTTGATTAGCATGCTGTTCACTCACACCCTTTGAGCTGCTGTGGACACTGAATCCTGGAGATATGTCCATGGAGATTATACTGCAGATGTAAAATAAAGAATGAGGGCTGTGTTTGAAATCTCACTGATGCATGAGTGTGTTCTGAGAAGATCACTTTTGAACGTCTGTACAGTGAACAATGGTGTGACTGCTTCTTGCTGATTGTGTGTGGCTGCTCCGACAGAAAGCCCTGGACATGAACAGGATGGAGTACGGGGCTTTGCCCGGCTGGAAGCAGGTGAATGTGAAGAAATCCAAAGGACTTTTCTAAACGGTTGATGACGTGAAGACAGGAAGTTGTTGTCGAGGAGGGACTGAGGGAGCAGTGAAGGTATGGAAGAAGGATCGGTGAACAAGAGAAGGGCCCGCTTCCCCTGCTGCACATTCACTTCCATCTTGGTATTTTGGTTGTATAGGTATGAGACACATGTAGGCGGATGCACCTCTGAGTGATTGCTCTTCTCTAAAGTCACTCTCATGAAGCTAAAGCCTCAAATTGCGTCCATAGGCAGAGAGTGCAAGGCCTTTTTATTGAATGTAATGTCAATGTATGTAGATATGTACCATATGCAGAACAGCCCAGTGCCCTTACATTGTGAGAGCAGGCCTGTCAGCCTGTTCAACACACACTCTCTGTTTAATCTCTATGTATGTTTGTGAATTACAAATAATTTATATTTATCAAATTCATATAGGAATTTTTTTTAAAGCTTCCTGAATATTCACTGAGCTGAAAATGATTGAATAAACTGTATAATGAATGTTGAAGAGCTTTGTGTCATATGTTGATAAATACTGGATATTACAGAATTATCTCGTGCTGTACAGATCACCATTTGCCATTTACAAATCAAATGATGCAGCTTTATTATTATAGTGTCACTATTGTTTCAGTTCCAAGAGAGTATACATGCTTGATAAGCGGCAGAGATAGAGGGATGCTGAAATGTATGTGATTTTTAAACCCTGCAGTGTATAGTGCCTTGCTTTGTGTACAGTTTATATAAAGATTCTAGTCTGCATTTTGAAGACTTTTTGTGATATGAATAAATATTAAACAAATAAACTCTAAAAGTCGGAACACTTTTCTTGCCTTTTGTTTTGTTCATGGTACCTGCCAATTGACTGTAGTACTGTTCTAATCATACCATGTATTGGCTGCATGTGAACATCATAGTCATGTATAGCCCAGCAGAGGGCAGTGTAATACTAACTTCTACAGACTTGTGGTATGACCATTACGCTCTAATGATCAGATGGATTAATGGTGAGTCCCTTTAAGACATTTAAGACTCTGTTACTATCAATAACAATGAGCACACTGTCTTTGATTCAGTATTCAAACGATTCGATTTATTTTCTGTGGTAAATTATTATTAATATAGTGTGTATATATAAGTTAATTTGCTCAAGTACTGTACTTACAGTAAGTACAATTTTGAGATACTTGTACGTTACTTGAATATTTAAATGTTTTGCTACTTTGTACTGTAGTCCACTACAATTCGGAGGTAAATGGTGTAATTTTACTCTACTACATTTATGTATTACCTTTAGTTACTTTGCAGATTTGGATTAAAGATGTGAAATATAATCAAGTGTTAAATCAGACTTTAGTTCCACCTGGAGTAAATTCACAAGCTACCCTGCAGTATACAAAGTCATTCAAACTAGCTGCACCTTTACCAGCTTTGAGAACACTTTAATGATCAATAATTATAATCAAAACATAAAATCTATATTATTCTGAAATGGAACAATCTGCATAATGAGTACTTTAGGTATTTTGATGCGTATACTTTTCTACGTTTACTTGAGCAACATTTTGAATGCAGGACTTGTACTTGTAGCAGAGTATTCCTTCACTCTGGTACTTCTACTTTTACTCGAGTACAAGATCTGAGTACTTCTCCCACCTCTGAAAGTACCCAGAAAGAGAGGCATACTGAAGCTGAGTGGTTTCGACCTGGGGTGAGTAACCCTATATGGGGTTGGTATAAACATTTAAGGACATTACAGAAGATAAATAGTGTAGGTAAGAAGAACAAACTCAAATACGTTGATGTTTTAAGATTGTTATTCCTTTCTTTTATTCCTATATTACCTCTCTTTTATCTATAATTATTTTTAATCTGTAATGTAGTCTCTTATTCAGGTTAAACATGAGAAATGACTGCAAAAACAGAGTAAAAAGACGGTAAGGGCGCAATTAGTCTTAGCATTGTTTTATGGGGCTATAAACCAATTAAGTAAAGAAGTGATTTGATGACTGAATGGAAAAACAAAAACTGAACAGCAGCTTCCCAGCCGACACATGACTTGTCATAGCAAGAAAAACACATTTGTTACTAACAACATTAAAGATGACTCAGTTCTATTGTGGCGCGTTAGTCAGCCTGAAACTGAAGTGGCATTTAGCCATTACTGATTTTATTATTTACACCTGTGCTTTTCCTACTGCCCAAATTTCTAATGTGAAAAACCCAGTTTAGTCATAAAGAAACAAAAGAGCTCTCATGCTATGCTATCAAGATTATCTTTGGAACATTGTCTTTAACCCTCCTGTTGTCTTCGGGTCAAATCTGACCGATTTACTACTTTCATCAATCATAACTTTTTTTTTTACATTCGATTGCATTAAGGCTTTATGATATCCTTCACAGTAGACATTTGAACATATACAATTGCTGATCACCACTTTCATTGAATTTTGGATGATTTAGTCAACTTTGTAACACCCATGGTGTTCCCGGTCAAAAATGACATGCACACACACACTCTAGAAGATGTGTCCCCACACCCCCTGATGTGCCCAATCCCCCCATGTGAATCACACCTGGCACACACACACACAGAACAATTTGACCCATTTCCCGCTCTTATGTGCCCATCCCCACACATGGATCACACCTGGCACATGCAATACATGTTCAGTGTCTATTCTTTGTATATTTACAGCAGTTTTTCATGTATACCAGTAGTCTGATACAATATGTACAGTTTGAAAGGGTGTTAAATGAAATTTGGTGATGAATGGTTTTTGTGTTAATGTAATAGCAGTTAAAACAGGACCGGTCAAATTTGACCACGAACACCAAAGTAAGGGGGGGGGGGGGTTTAAATAAAAACTCAATAAAAGAATGCAAAGTAAAAAATGGGCAGATTCTTAGTAAACAAATTAGAAAAAGTTCATATAACAAACATTTCCAATCAAAAATATGAAAACATTCAAATCTACAGTAACTTAAGCTAATAATACTTTTACAGAAGCAATATTTAGTTATTTACTTGTATTGGAGTGATTTTACAGTGTGTTACTTCACTGCAAAAAACTCACAAACATATCCTTTCAATTAAATTCACCCTGGTTTCTTTTGTTGCTAGTTTCCCCACTGTTGACAAACTGTTGATTTTTATTTGTTTCTAAAGGGGCATGACAGAAAAGGTAGGCAGTTAACCAAATGAGGTGTCAAATGAGTCTTTAAAACACAAGACAGACTGTTAATGTAGAGCAGCAGTGACTATGGCACATGAAGGAAGACCTGTGTGTAGTGTGTACAGTATAAGTACACTGAATGTCACCATGTTTACTGTCAGTCTCCTCCAACACCTCCTTCAGCGACTCTGCTCCTCGGGGTCTCCATCTGCAGTAACAACATCTGATGTGTGTATAGCTCACATATGGCAGCTTTATGGATTCTGTTAAAAGCTCAATTACCTATGTGAAGTCACAGGTGAAAGCTACAATCCGCTTTCCAACCTGTCAAACCTCACGGCCTCATTTTCCAGGCTTCCCTCCAACTCTTTACACACACACACACACACACACACACACACACACACACACACACCACACACACACACACACACACACACACACACACAAACAGACACATTGAAAGCTCTCAGATGTTCTCAATATCAGCCGTTGGCCTGTGTTGAGGAACAAGAGCAATTAGAGGGGAATTTCATGCAATCACAGAAGAACAATATACACAGCAGGTTTCTGTTCATCCAACTGTTGCTCAATATTTTAACCGCCTCAGTGACAGCCTGCCCCGAAACAGCAACAAGAGAAGGAAGAAGCTGCTGCCTTTTTCCAAGAAGGTTGGCAACACTCTGCGTGGTTCTCGCTGTTTCTCATCTGCTCGCCCTCTCTTGCATGCTAAATTGTTGGATGCTGAGCCAGTGCTGGATTATTCTCTTGCCTCCTCTGAACTCCTCTGGCCTGCGAGGAGTTTGATGTGCGACACGGAGCATATCCGCCCACTGCGCCTCCACACCCACTCAGTGCAACACGCTACAGCCCCCCTCCCCCCTCTCTCTGTCTCCAGGAAGACAGTAGGATGTACACTATGTTGCTGTACTGCCAGGTATCTTCCAGCACGTTTTGACTCCAAGCCCAATTTCTGTGCTGAGCTCCAACCAGCTTTTCTTCTGATACAATCCCTTTACAGCAGGGGTGTCCAAACTACGGCCCGGTAGCCAAATGCGGCCCGCGGGCCATTTTGAATCGGCCCTCAGCTAATTAAAAAAAGTATAATGGAATACGGCCCACAAATGAAACTTGAGCTTGTCTTGTATTGTGCTTCTTACATATATCTGTAAACATATATTACACAATAGTGTTCATGTGTTAATAAGTCTAATTTCCCATAAATTAAGTCAATTTAAGTTGAAAATATGTTCTAACAAATCTAAGTTGATAAGAAAAAAGTCCAATAACTTATTTCCTATTTCCTCTTATAAGAAATCTGAGGCTTCTGTTTAAGGAATGAGCTGCAACAAAATAAATGAAACCCTATGGAGAGCTGTGATGTAGGCTGTTTAATTTTCTTAAAGCATATTCAGCTATCAAGCATAATTTATTTACAGACCTTCGAATATTTTTCTGTAGGTGGCCCTCTGTGAAAAAGGTTTGGACAGCCCTGCTTTACAGGATGCAGGAACAACAATACAACACACCATGACACACACCGGTACAGTACAAGCTGTGGATACACACGTGACCAAAAGTTTTAAAATGATTTGGTTCGGCATTGAAAACCACATTTTAAAAAATCACTAACGCTCGGGTTTTCAAAGGGACTTTTCCTTTTGCAGAAAGTAGATTCATTGTTTCATCAATTTCCTGTGAGATGTGAAATGTTATGACTTGCTTGAAATTATTTTAAAATCCCCTTGTAAACTTTTATGTGTCTCATAGAGCACAGTGAAACGACCCTGCAGTTAATTCCTGGGTTTACACGCACATTAAATTAGATCAATAGACTAGAGTGCCTCTAACTCTAATTATTTTTAACTTCTCTATTAATCTGAAATCTATTCCTAAGGCACATTTATTGGCACACACAATAGAAATTAAAATAGTTTCAAGTTTGCATTTTAATATGGATATGGTTTAAAGAGATCTCAAGTCATCCTGTGTTCGGTGCTGGGCATCCTTGTGTTCAAGGAACAGTCATTATTTAATCTAGGTATAGTTTGAAAACCACCTTATGACATCAAGGTTAGTTAATTAAAAATGTAAAGCCCCCTCGTATTCCAAAAACTACAATACACAACTGTTTTTACTCCAGTCCTTCTGACGAATGATTTGACTCTAAATGTGTAAAATGAAGAGTACATTAAGACCAGAGTGCAATATAATTGTAAATCCAAAATACATCGTCATAAATACATAATACACCAAGCCAACTGTTTATAAAGTTAACCAGGTTAACCACATATCAACCATTGATATGACATAATACATATAATAATTGGAGTAATATAGACCTTGGATACAGTGGTGGAATTTAACTTAGTACATTTGATCAAGTATTGTCCTCAAGTACTTTTTTGACACACTTTTATGCTACTTTATACTTTTACTCCACTACATGTTGGATGCATTTTTTTGTACGTTTTACCCTTCTACATTTATTGAACACTCGTAGTTACTTTTTAGGTATAAAAGCACATGATAAGCAGTATTATGCAGTACTGTAATACTAATCAACCCGGTATTTAACAAAATACCTAAAATTGGCCCCACATTGACAACATTAAAATGCTCTTAGATGT